GCGCTGAACTAAATTATATATATATATATATGCAGGCTTAGGGTACGAATCCCCGTGATAAACTAGGAACTACTGTATAACAGTTTCTGAGATTAAGCATTTAGACTAGCTGGTTCCCTGTTATTATTAGGCTTTCATTCTGGGTCATGGTGGCGTTTCAGTGGGGTGCCTCATTGAAGGAAAGTTGCAGGTTCGCCCTGGTCTTTCTGCGTGGACTTTACATGTTCTCCCCGTGCACGTGTCCGGTTTCCTCCCACAGACTAAAACCATGCATATTAGGGACGTGTCACCTGCCTCTCGCTCTGTGACAGCTGGAGACAGACACCGGCTCCCTGCACAGAAAAGCAGGTGAAGAAGATGGATGGAAGCGTTCTTGGGGGGGTATTCTTGCAACATGACCCACATTTTATGGACCGTTATTAGTGTACAGGTGTCCTGGCCTATTCCTGATGAAATAAAGTTCTTTTTTTTTTCAGAAAGTTGTATGTTTTGTCTCATGGGCCCACAAAACTTTTCTCTTCAACCCTCTAATATAATATCCTGATGCATGCTCAAATGTAATCTTTAACGCACTGTGGAAGCAGCCATAGACATTTATTAAGCTTCACTCTGAGGGAGAGTTACTCATTTTAGGTTCATTCACAACCTTGGGGACTTTAACTCAGTTCGTCCTTGGGCTGAGCTGTGGTTGCCAAACACACCTTTGGTTGTTGAGAGTTCACTTCACGTCCCTCCATTTGTCCACTCTGTCTTACTGCTGGCAGGTAAAGTCCAAACCCTTTACACAAAATGATTTGCTAATGTTTTACAGCCTAATGATGCCAACTAATGTTGATCAACAGTCTGAGCAGCATAAAAGTCTTCTTTTTTTAATTTGTGGTGGGGTGGGGGGTAAAAAGCAGAGCTAATTTAACAGATGACTCTTTTTTCTTGCTTTAGTGCCAGACCCACTGACTTTGACTTCCTGGCTGTCATTGGTAAAGGGACTTTTGGAAAGGTAAAACTGAAACAGTTTATTATTTATTCCTTTATTTATGATTTAATCTTTTTTTTTCTCTGTAGTTTTCTTTTTAACTGCTCAGACTATACATTCACCCATTCATTTTGTCTCATGTGATCCAATAAACCCGAAGGAAAAAAACTGAAACAAATGAAAGATAAATTACTTTTAATAATGGTTTTTAATAGGTACAGTATAGACTGCAGCAGCAGGGATTTCTTGTGCTGACTTTGTGAGAGAATAATAATAATGCGAGATTTCAAGATGGCGCCCGGCTCTTAAAACTACAAAGAGGGCAGGTAAGAATGTGCGTGGCAGTGTGATCAAAACAGGTCGCCCTCTTCATAAATCATTAACTGTTGAATTCACTGAGACCTCTGAGTGGCATCAAGTCCCATCAAGAGTTATTAAAGTTCAAACTCTTAGAGATTTATATATTCATTTACATTTGTTGTCCTGCTGGATCTTTGACCAAAGACTTTTAAATCTTGACTCTTCATGCTTGATTTGTCACAAACCTGCATACGCTCAGAATTTAGTCTTATCTATTGTTTTTCTCTCCATGTTCCTTAAATCTCTGACCTCATATTTCCTGATCATGTTCCTGCTACACAGTATATAATTCAGATTCCTGCAGCTTGTCAACCTGTCAAAACTGCTTTACCTTCAGATGCCACTTGAGTACTTTGACTACTACTAGAAATTGTTTTGCTTCCACAAAGATGTGTCCTATAAGGCTGACTGTAGACTACTTATTTTCATTCTTGAAATGATGCATCTTTTTTATTTTGCTTTACTTATATTTGTTCAACTGAGCATCTTAAACCTAAAACTGATCTCAACAGCAGATTTGTAGGAGAGCCAAAAGGGAGTGGGTGATATAAACTTTCTTTCGTTCGTTGACATGTTTACAGGAGGCTGTCACTTTTAACAACAAATAATTTATCTGACTTTGTCTCTAATAACTGCCTCGTGTCAATAGGCCTAATAAATGCTGTTATAAATCCTCTAAAGGTTGCTTACCATTCAGAAAAAATGGCATTGTGTGAAAGTTCAATACTTTGATGGTACATTTCTGCCATCGGACGTTCTGTGTAATTCCTCCTACCCATAATGCATCTGCTCACGTTCAGTACTCTTCTGCTCTTGATCACTTTTAGTCTATTTCTCTTTAAATATGGTCTGAACCTCTTGAAGCCCACTACATGTCCTCTGGACTTTACTCTCACCGTTTTAAGGAAGTTATTGATATTGTTGAACCTTGCTTTTTTCTAACGTTGGCCCTGTCTACACTACTCCAGTTGTTTTTTAAAAACTGATATTTTCTGCTGTGTTTGCGCCTCGTGTCCAGGCATAAACAAGTGTATGATAAGATAAACGGTTGTTTATTGCAAAGCAGCAATTAAAAATATCTTTATACCTGATGTTTTCATGTGGACAGGGTGCTTTTTATGAATAACAATGTCGGAGTCTATTTATACCACTTTAAGCCCGAGAAACAACTATTGAGCAGTTTTACTGATTTACCCCAATCCAGTCGCTGTCCAGCTTTGATCACATGCTGAAAATATTCCTGACCTTTGTGTCAGTGTAGTTCTGTGATCCACGAGGCAGCAGGAATTTATTAGCATGACTGAGACGTCTTCTTTACAGTCTGCACTAGGCCTGTTGCAATAAACAATAAAACAATTAATTGTATGGTAAATGAAAATTACCAACCTCATTTCCATTGATTGGCTTCATCGTTTCTTCGTGTCGCTCTCTTTCTACTGAAGACACTGGATGACAAAAGGTTCAACTCCGGTGCTCATCACTGACCCTTCGCTTTCTCTTTAAAATCTGTTTTAACGATCCAAAATGGCGTTTTTGGATCGTTAAACGCAGCTAAGCTGAGAAGCTGAGCTACGAGCTAAGCTAACAGGCCGACCTCGGGGAAAAAAAAAAAAACTCTGTCTTGTCGAAACTCCAAAATTCACGGTTGAAACCCGTGCCTTTGTGCAAAAAGTTGTTTTTCTCTGTAAAAAGAAGCTGAGAACTTGTTTACAGACTTTTTTATTAAAAGCTTTGTGTGACGAATGCTATGTTAAAGAGCTCAAACCACATTGAGCCTCTGCCATTTTGAGAATTGAAAAAAAAAAAGAGAGACAGCCCATGTCACGTCAAGGGGCCTCCCTCCCATTTTTCTTAAAGAGACACACTGCTCGCTCCCTCACTATCCATCCTTCGGTTCAAACAGTCTTATACTGCCATCTGGTGGTCAAAAAAGGTACTGTGCACTAAACAACATTTCTTCTTAAATTTGACAATAATTACTAATTATTGTCAAATTTCAAACAATTTTATCGTTTATCACAATAATTTCTGAGACGGTTAATCGCCCAGCAAAATTTGTTATCGTGAGCGGCCTAGTCTGCACTTCTTAAAGCTTTGAAGCATCTTTCTTTCAGACTCATGATTCTGTCTATGTGATGTTTTTCTTACAAACAACACGGTGGATTACTAATCTGTCATCTGAAGCACTGCTTTGGCGTTAAAGAAAGTGCTTTGGAGTGGGTTAATCTTATTTACCCGACATAAGCTTTTCTGTCCGGTGGCCTTGTTTTTCATGCTCGCACGGTTTTCTCCAACATTTTCTCTTTGATTTAGAGTTCTTCATGAAGTTTATATTTGACTACAAAATGAAAGCCACTGCTGCTTTAAAGAACTTGCTGGACTGCCTTGAATGTAAAAGAAAAACACTTCATTTTGTCAGTCTAAATAAACAACAAATGCAGTTTTATACTTTTTGAACTCTGATCTTTGGAGAAATTCCTGGGCATGATTTAGTCTTGTAGTAATTTTTACTCTTGTCACTTTTTTTTTTAATCCTTTGCTGATTTGAAGAAAGTAATTTATGCCTATATTTTATTTTTGGGGGGAAATTTTCAGATTTACAAGAAATTAAATATTCCATCTTCCTATTTTCCAATCTTTATCAGTTGCGGTCATTTTCCATTTTTACAAATACACTTATTTACTGTAGCACCCCCGTACAAACTGACAGAACATTCTTCTTAGTTTTCACTTAGTTTACAAATATTCCCAAGAGTATAATGGCATCCAAATAACCTAAATTATTAAATATAAGAACTATATACATCAGAACCAGGGGAGCTTATAAGGAGAAAAAAGTAAACGATAATCATAAAAGGGAGTAAGTAAAAAAAAAATAAAAACAGTATTACATCATTCACCAGTTGGGGGAAGAAGTCATGACAGAGAAGTTGTAAAAATCTGGCTCTAGTTGGGATTACATAATTTATCCACCTCTTCTAAATTCGGTAAAATTGATCTGTTTGGATATTCAGAGTATAGGTTAACTTTTCCATCTTGAATATTTCTAAGGTAATATTCAACCACCCTTCCTGTAGGAGGGGTTGGGTTGAGCCATTTTCTAGTAATATTTTTCTTGCTTGCCACTATAAGAGGGCCTGCAATAGTTTCCAGTCAGTTTTCTGTTCCAGGGTAGCAACATCAGCAAAGTAAAGAGTCACAAAACTGAATGGTATTCAAATTCCAAAAACCAAGTTTAAGGTTTTATGAATGTCTCTCCAGTAAGGACTCAATTTAGGACACCCCCAGAACATATGGTAATGATTGGCTTCTTCTGAGCCACATCGTCTCCAACACATGTCTGTCTGTTATTTCGTACATTAGCAGTTTTCTTATCAGTTCGAATCCTCTGTCACCTTTTAAAGGACGCTGATGAACCTCAGTGGGAAGTATTATCTTGATGTAAAGCTGCACATATTGCTGGCATTTTGTGCTGCGCTTTTCACCTTTCTTACTGGAGTCATGGACCTTTGCTACAATTTTTTTTTTTTTATCTAAAAATGAAATCAAGTCTTCTTTCAGGTAACGACAACAAAGATGTCGAATTAATTCATTACATGGGGAAAACCCCATCTGTTGCTGAATATGTAGATTAATGGTAAATATTTTTTCCCCATTTGGCCGTGTATCGCTCGACCTTGCAGTGCTTTTGTTTTATTTTTGCTGTTCTTTTAAAATGTCTGCTTTTGTTTAATTGTTTAAGTCATGGTTTTTGCATGATCCTGCACGCTTTAGTCAGCACCTGTTTTTCCTCAGTATCAGCTGTTCCCACACATCCACCACCTATCTGTTTTTGATGAAATGTCCTGACGGCAGCGTGCCGAGATGCTGGCGCAGAATATTTACCAAACAAAGCACTAACAAGCAAACCATCACGCAGGTCCTGCTCGCCAAGCACAAAGCCGACAACAAGTTCTACGCCGTCAAAGTGCTGCAGAAGAAAATCATCCTGAAGAAAAAAGAGGTACTTTCTCCTCCGCCGCCTTTTTAATTATAGCTGTGAATAATTTCCAACTCTACACAAACGCAAATAAAATTACAGCAAATTGCACAATCATAAAAAAAAGGTTTTTATGTCAACCAATAAGCTAATTTTTTTATACTTGAATACAGTCAGATTAATTAATTAATTTATTTTTTTAAATCAGAACACAATGTTGCTGCTAATAAGCATGTATATTGATACAAACCTACAGATTGAAACATGGTGATGATTGGATAAGACAGAGGTGGGTGACATTTTTTTCCAAAGGGCCACATCAAGACATTTAAAGCAATCAAAGGGCCGTATAAAGAATTGGAAAATAAATGTTCTTAATGACAGATAATCTAGAATACTTTATTTAGGCTTTTTCTTATTGTAGCACAGTTAGCATGTTTTATAAAACATGCCGTTCCCATATCTTTTAGGAATATAAGACATATTCTGTAAACTGGCTCTTGTGACAATATACGCGTTAGCTTAACATGTTATACACGTTAGTTGAACATGTTATACACGTTAGTTGAACATGTTATACATGTTAGCTTAACATGTTATACACATTAGCTTAACATGTTATGCACGTTAGCTTAACATGTTATGCACGTTAGCTTAACAAGTTATACATATTAGCTTAACTTATTATACATGTTAGCTTAACATGTTATAATGCTAGCTAAACATGTTCTACATGTTAGCCTATTATGCACATTAGCTTAACAGGATATACACGTTAGCATAACATGGTATAACGCTAGCTTAACATACACATTAGCTTAGCATGCTATGCACATTAGCGTTATACATGTTAGTTTAACATGGTATAACGTTAGGTTAACATGTTATGCACATTAGCTTAACAGGTTATACACATTAGCTTAACATGTCATACACATTAGCTTAATGTGTTATACCGGTACATGTTAGTAGAAATATGCAAAACAAACTTATATGTTTGTGTTTCTGACTTTAAGTTTCAGTCTCGTTATGGAAACACAATGACTTAATTTCTTTTTTAAGTTTTGCGTAAGATGTTTAATTTAAATTTCCTTGAATCTCGTTGATAAATTGCTGTATTTTTTTAATCAATCTTTTTTTTTTTGGTAAAAGTTTTTTTTTTAAACTAAGGATGTTGGGGGGCCTGATTAAGATTGTCCAAGGGCCTCGGGTCTTAAGTTGGCCACATCTGGATAAGAGGATAAAGGTGTAAAATATTTGCAAGCAAACCAAGAGGAACATCTGTTTATATCTGCTTTTATCTTAGTGTTATTAGTAAACGCTCTTCTGATCCCATCTGTATCTTATCTCATCTGCAGCTTGTTCTGTACAAAGGACACATTTTACAACCCACTGAATATAAATTGTTGGACAACACAAAGAATATCTGATCAAAAGCACTCAGCCTCGTCTCATTTGGAGCGCTCCGGAAGTGGAATTGTTTCATAATCTTTCAGAAAAGAGACAGTGTTCTGTTTCCTTTTGCTCCTTTAGGCTTTAAATTATTTAAGAAACTTAAATTCAGACATCTGGCCTTTTCGGTCACTTCAGCTTTTTGGTTCAACTAAACATGCTTATTTTTGTGAAGTCCGATAAAAAAAATAGTTTATCCTGCTTCTATGTAAGTTTATTGGTCCCATAATAGTTTACATCATTGGAAACAATTAATAAATCTGTGTCCAAATCAGTTTTCTTTATATATATATAAAAAAAACCCTCAAACAATAATAACAAATATACTCTGTAATAGTTTTAGATAAACTACAAATACAAATAAAATATCTAAACTATAGTGTCTCCCTTCAAATAATTGCAAATTGAACTAATAGATCTGATATCAGCAATTAAATGTTTTTTTTTCTTTGAATACATGTTCAAAATATATAGCTTTCATAAATAATGTTTGTTTTGCACCTAATTAAAAAATAAACAGGTTTGGCATATACCAGTTTAATTGCTGTGTTTTGGATTTAGCCGTTTCCTTTGAACATGTTAGTGACAGTATACAGTAAAATAAGAGGAACAGGAAAGGCAGAATGATTTTAAACTGTGCAACACGTGCATGAACCAAATCATAAATACACAAGCATCACTGCAGGTAGTGCTGGGAAACATCCGGATTATTAACTAGAAATAAACAGTTATGATACGAAACCACATCACATCTCTTCGTTCCTTACAGTGTAGTAAATTTTTAGGTTTAATAAAGTACATTCACTGTGGTGTCAAAAAGGCGTGTTCCTCTTTTAATGTTTTTCTTCTTTGTGTTCAGCAAAAGAACATCATGGCAGAGAGGAACGTTCTGCTGAAGAGTCTGAAGCACCCCTTTCTGGTTCGGCTCCACTACTCCTTTCAGACCGCAGAGAAGCTCTACTTTGTCCTCGACTACGTAAACGGAGGAGAGGTGCATGTTTTACAATAAAGTCTATTTAAAAGGAGCCACAGGGCGGTTCATTTTCAGAGACTTTGATAAAATTAGGCAGAGATTGTTAAAGAGAGGCAGCAAATGTCCATTCATCCGTTTCTTTCTTTTCGGGTCGCGGGGGTCACTGGTGCCATATCCAGTCATCACTGTGGGAAAGACGTGGAACACCCTGGACAGGTCCATAGAGACAAAACGAGACAACCATTCATCCTTTCACCTAGAGACAATTTAGACGTGTAGTTTAGCAAGGTTCAGCCTTTTACCCTTTTTGTACGTATGTTTTGCTTGGTGAACCTTAAATAATCATGTGGCCCCTTTTTATATCAAGGATTTCTGCAGATATTATTGTCTTTAAGAATCATATCTCATGCTCAAGAATCTTTATTATCCCCGAGGGCAATTTGTTTCACAGTCAGCAGGCACATAAAACATCCATACTTGGCAAAACATTGAGACATTAAAGTAACAGAACAGAAATCATCATTGCTCGTTGAGTAGCCTGATCGCTACGGGGATGAATGAGCTTTTCAGTGTGTTTGAACGACATCTGGGCTGCAGATACCTGCGTCCAGATGGAAGCAACCTGAACTCACCATGGAGTGGTGATCAGGATCTGCCAGAATCAGCCTCTCCTTGTTCACTGGCCTCACCTTGTGCAGGTCAGTGAGGTTCTGTAGGGCTATTCCTGCAGTGTTGCTGCACATCCTCACTCACTCACTGAGCTTTACTTTCAACTAGTATACACTGATTTTAAACACATCTGAGTAGAACAAGCCAAAGCTAATTATTGTTACCAATTATTTAAGAGATCATTCTGCCTCTTGGTTTGACTCTCTGGACTCACTGCCCTACACTTGTAGCAGTTTTTTTTAAATGTAAATCTAATTTCATCTTTGTATCCATCCTCAGCTGTTCTTCCACCTGCAGAGGGAGCGGTGCTTCTCCGAGCCCAGGGCAAGATTTTACGCAGCTGAGGTAGCAAGCGCTATCGGCTACCTTCACTCGCTTAACATCGTCTACAGGTTAGACTCACACTAACTGGAAAATTAAGTCATTTCATCAAAGTCAGGGCCGTTCATGATGGAGTGATTTATTCTTCTTCACAACAGAGATCTGAAGCCAGAAAATATTCTTTTGGACTCGCAGGTAAGTCGGCGTAAACGCTTGTATTGCTCGTATTTGGCGCAGCTGAGGACCGCCTGGGGTTTGTGTGCACAGGGCCACGTGGTGCTGACAGATTTTGGACTGTGCAAAGAGGGCGTAGAGCCAGAAGGAACCACCTCCACCTTCTGTGGCACTCCAGAAGTGAGTAAAAAAAAAAAAATCAAGATTAATCAGAATAATCACTGTGAAAAACCATATCATGTTGCTGCTGATCTGTTTCATGTTGCTGCTGATCTGTTTCAATGTTGATGTGTTCATGCGTGCACATCTGCTCACAGACTCATGTTCATGTTTGTGCTGATGTTCAATGTTTTTATGTTATGAGTGCTTAGTGTATATTTAGTTGATGTTTTTCTTAGTTCATATCTTAGATGTTATTACTGTTTTTCTTATACATTTTATTGTTGGATGTAACTGGGACCTTGTGTACATAATTTCGCTCCACCACGTGTACCACATGAGGTGCGAATGACAATAAAGAAACTCTGACTCTGATTAGTTGCTTCAAAAAAGTGCAGAATTTGACACATGCTATTGTAACTTTTAGCTCAACAAATACTGTAGAAGCAAATTGTAAATGGTGGGTTGTTTTCTTTCTTCTACTTAATCTAGTTACTTTTGTCTTGTTTTGTATTTTCTGTCTGAAGTACTTGGCACCAGAAATCCTTCGTAAAGAACCTTATGATAGGACAGTGGACTGGTGGTGCCTCGGAGCAGTTCTTTATGAGATGATCTACAGCCTGGTATGTTCCTTTGAGTGTAGTTTGATTTCTTTTTAAAGGTCACACCCAAAGAAAAATCTTCTTTACTTTCGTTTCAAACGTGCAGACTTTAACTGTAGCAGCTTACTCTCGCTCTTTAAAGCAGAAATCAACAACACTCTTTATTTTTCTCATATTTAACAAGTTTAACTGAGCAACAAGAGGATTTCCTGATCCTGATTTTTAATTTAGTTGTGGGTCTTTGTTGGACATTGTGATCTGATTTAAACTGTCCAAACTAGTCATCTGCAAACTGTTTACAAAAAGAAATTAGGACAGACGTTAGCTTTTACTTCGGCCAGCACAGCCCGTTTCATCAGGAGGGATTTGAGCATAAATAGGTTTACAGTTTACGCATTTTGTTGTTGTACACTTTTCGCCACCTCAGCCTCCGTTCTACAGCCGTGACGTTGGTGAAATGTATGATGGGATCCTCCACAAGCCCCTGCCGCTTCCTTCAGGGAGGTCCGAGGTGGTCTGCTCTCTGTTGGTGGGTCTTCTACAGAAAGACCAGCACAGACGTCTTGGGGCCATCGCTGACTTTGTGAGTGTGTCATTTTTTTTTTTTTTAAAGTCCCTTTTCTCACCGCCAAACACAAAACGTGTCTGCTCTTGATGAGATAATTTGTTCTAAATCCTACTTTAGTGTTAAATAGTTCATTAAATGTATAAAATGTTGTATATAAAATGTTTACTTGTTTTACTTTTTCTACTGGGAAGCACTTTGTGGGTTTAATCTTGTAAAAAGATTTTAAAAAAGTGTTTAATTAATCGTAAAAGCTTTTGTCAAAGGCGCAAAGGATGAAGGTAAAGCACGATTAACGCCTCTTCTTTTTAATTTGATCATAGCTGGAAATAAAGAACCACACTTTCTTTTCTCCGATCAACTGGGACGATCTTTACCACAAGAGAATCACTCCTCCCTACAACCCAAACGTGGTGAGTTGTTTCTCTCTCCGTGATCGTCTTATTGACCGTGACGTGTATTTTTTCTACTTTGACGGATTAAATTTGTTCCTGCATTTTTTTTTTATTATTATTTAAACCAACTGGCCTTGCCATTTAATCTTATATTTTATTTTTTTCTGAAGTTTTCAGTGTAATAATTCAACAAACAGTGAACTATTGTTCCTCAGCTGGATCAAATGTGTATTTTTTGGTTTTATTCTTGAGTGAGGGAAGACTGAGCTGTGAGATCGACAGACGGATCGGTGCAGCTTTCACAGTATTACAGAGACTGTGCCAGTCCGTTGTGGTGAAGAGTGAGCAGAGCTGTATGACGAAGCTCTTTGTTTACCGGTCGGTCTACGTACTGCCTCACCTATATGGTCATGAACTCTGGGTAGTGACTGAAAGAACGAGTTTGCAGATGCAGCATTTGAAATAAGTTCTCTGTATCTGTGGTCCTTTTTAAATCATAGCTGTTCCAGTCTGCAGAGCGTAACACCAAACCAGTGTGTGCCATTTTACAGAAACCTGGCGTCACAGCATCAGTTACATACAGTAGGTGTAAAAACTACAGATTATGTGCTCTCACTGTTAGGCCTCGTGTAACACAGATTTGGATGTTACTTCCTCTGCAGTTGACTCACAGACATTACTTCACAAACAGGTCAGTCCTGGCTGCAGAGGGCAGCCTGACCACGAACGACCTGTTGGCTCTTTCAAAAATGGAAAAACAAACAAATTTTTTTTTTAATAATTTAACGAATGAGGCCCCAATATTTTATACAACCTTTAAATTTGATTATGGTGTGTACTCATTTTATCTAGAGTTGCAGTAACTGTACTGAAGACTGGAAAGTCAGACTGCTCTGATCACTGGTTAAAGTCTTGATTCTGTGGGAGACGTCATCTTTGAAAATTATCTTATATTTTTCCAACCATCGTTTCACTATTTGAATTCAGTCTTTAGCTTCTTGTCTGTTTCAGTAGGGGGCAGAAATCTCTTTCTGTAAATAAATATACAGTGTTCCAGTTTTTAACTCTGGTTGCCTCCGCTCACCTCCTGTTTGACGGAGCTTTGCTAAACCAGGACCTTAACTTCTGAAGAAACACAGGATCACAACACTGACCCCATGTGGTGCTAACATGATGGAGACATCAGTTCTTCTGCGGCTCTTTCAGTTCAATTCAGTTTATTTATATAGCGCCAAGTCGCAACAGAATTCATCTCAGGGCACTGAACAGAAACATTCATATATAAAAAGCAAGTTAATGACATTATTTATCTGAGGAGCACACTGCTTTGAATTTACATCGCAGACTCTCATCTTGAGCAAGCTTAAAGGCGACCATAGAAAGGAAAAATTCACTCATGAGGAAGAAACATTTAGCAGAACCAGGCTCAGGACAAGCGGCCATCTGCTTCGACCGGCTGGGTTTGAAAGGAACAGGAAGGTGGAACAGATACACAATGGCAGGTAAAGAACCACATGTTAAGATGGAAATAATATCAAATAAAAACTATTCAGTTTTAACATAGGTCAGTTTGTCCTCCAGTAGTCTAAGCCTATGGCAGCATAACAAGCCAACCCTAACTATAGGATTTATCAAAAAGGAAAGTCTTAATCCCAGTCTTAAAACTGGACAATGTGTCAGCCTCACGGACAGAAACTGGAAGTTGGTTCCACAAGAGAGGAGCCTGATAACTGAAAGATCTTCCTTCCATTTTGCTTTTGGAAACTCTAGGAACTGCAAGTAAGCCTGCAGATTGAGAGCCAAGTGGTCTGTTAAGAAATTATGGAACAATAAGATCTGTAATACGAGATGGAGCTAGGTTGTTGAGGGCTTTGTAGGTTAAAAGTAAGATTTTGAACTCTATTCTGAATTTGACAGGGAGCCAGTGGAGGCTCTTCTTCTTCTCCTGATAAATCCATCAGTGAATAAAGTCAGTCTGGACTCACCGGACCGACCACGTGACTTTTTCACTGTCAGTCATTACTGATAGGATTACTGTGGATTTTCTTTCATTATGTTCCTCCCCACACATTTAAGTTATTTCTAATCACAGGTATTCTAGAAATTTTACTGGCCACGTTTCTTTATTACATAATAAGGATGTTTTAGCACCATTTTCTAGGTTTTAATTAGTACTTTAGCTCATTTCATTAATGTATTTAGCTATTTTGACCTTAATTAAGCAAAGTAACATGTTTTTTTTCCCCACAGCTACGAGGTGTCGTCTTTAAAACTCATTGTTTAACAGGTGGAAAGATGCTCACATTGATTGTTCTTTCAGAGAGGCCCAGCTGACATTCAGCACATTGATCCAGAGTTTACCAGGGAAATGGTTCCCAACTCAGTGAGTAGGACCCCAGAATTCAACGCCAGCACCAGCTCCAACAACGCCTTCAATGGGTTCTCCTTTGTCGCCACCGAGGACAGCTTCCTGTGAGGCGAAAACAGTTCAGATATAACATTTTAGAAGGAAGCGTCAGTAAAACGAGGCCGTTACTTCATTGAGTAAATGTAAAAGCTCCTCATGTGACGTTGTCAGAACCTTTTCTGGTGTTTATCAGAAAGTGAGCATCCGGTTGGTGGAGATATTCAAAGTTAAAAGCATTTGCATCAAGTAACACAAACGATCCTCATGCAGTTAACTTGAAGGTTTGAGAACGTGTCAGGCTGAATTTAAAGCAGCGCTTAGTTTATTTTTTACAAACTTTATCAAAAATTGCCTGTTAATTATTATTATTTTTTTCCAATGTAGGTTTATTTATCAGTCATTTGAAATGTGAACTGGTATTTGAAGATTGAAAAATATATTTTTAGTGCAGTGTTAGACTTTTGACCATCAGCTACGCATGTGTTCGATGTCAGATTGTATTTCTTAAAGACTGCCGCTGCGATGACTTAAAACCTCTGCTGGTTTTCAACTATTTTTATACACTTCTGAGCTCCAAAATGTCAAGCGTAAATCATGTACAGCACCAATCTTCAGAACTTTTCTTTGTCATGTTTAGAGTTTTAGTCTTTTTTACTTCATAAATCAAGTTGTGAATGAACTTTTATTGACCGAGGTTTATGTATCAGCTCTCAGCCTGTTCTTTTTTCTTAATAAACAAAAATAAATATTGGATAAAAAGAAGGAGATGTTGAAAATAACTTTGAACTCAACAGTAATACACAGAGTAACCTGGGTGGTGTGAATCAGTGGCTGCTGGCCACCGCAGCAGCGTCATGTATGTTAACGTGTTAAATGTCTACATGTTAAAAACACTCCGTGTAGCAATCACTTACACTGTAGTGTGCACATTGAAGTTGTTTATTATGGGGACTTGAACTTTATTTTTTTATATAACTGGGGAAAGTTCAGTAAAATGTATGTAAAGCATAAATAATATATTCTGTAGATATATTTGTTTGGTTAGAGGTTTGAAAAAAAAAGATAAGACTCCATATTCTTATGTTAAAGCTAAATCTAGCATTTGTAAATAATCTGTGATTCTTTATTGTGCTTTGATTTCTTCAGTTAGTTATGAATAGTATTTTGTTGTTGATAATGTGAGTTTTAGTTAAAATATCTCTGTTAAATGTCCTTAACGTCATACATGTTTGTATGTTTTAAATAAAACCATTTATTTCAATTGCTGAGCATAACCTGCTTACATGTATACCAACACCCTGGAATGTGTGAATCCATGCAGACGCAATGTTTTTCTGTGAAAACAAATAGATTTTAAAAAAAAATCTGTTAATTCGATGGGATAATAGTTTTGATTTCCTGCTTCAAATGACAGTCTCAAAGAACAAGTGCTATTCTGACCTTTGAAACAGTAACGCTGGGTGCCATCTTGTTTTCCAACTAATGCTGTAAACAAAGAAGCTGTCATTAGCAGTTGTGTCACACCAGCAGCAGCAGCGCCTCCAGTGTGGACCAACAACAAGTAAATTAAAAGCTCATGTGTCTGTGTATACGGAAAACCTGTTAATGAATCAAATAGCTGTCAAAACATCTGTGATGTTTTAAACAAATTAGTACAAGTTAAAGAACAAACTCATTTAATAGTTGGATTATGGTCCAGCTAATAAAAAATACAGCCCCTCAGAAATCACCGGAACATTAAAGACAATTATGATTGTAATATTCTAGATAAGATTATTTAAAGTGAAAGATTTTAAAAGGCCCACACTCTGCAGGTTCCACATGTGACTTATTTATTCAACTAAGTTAATGATTTAAAGCGGCTGTTCAGCTTCAGTACATAGGTAGTTAGTATACTGTGAGATATTGGAAAGTTTGACAAAAAAAAAAAAAAGTTTTTATTGCATTCTTTAATACAAAACAACAGCTTTGATGAAGACTGTGGTGTTTGGAACAAAACATTTGTTAAAAGGGGCTAGTGTGGTAATTACCATAATTAATTATTTTAATTTTAGCATTTGTTCTCCAATATCTCATTTATTATTTATCAAATTATATTTTCTGTAACTGAAGTTGAAGAGTTATCTGTTTTTCTGTGTTAGCTTCATTAAGGATTAGTGTGGATTATTTGACCTGGCAACAGTTTCCACCTGCCTGAAGACTGCCACCATCATCCCAGTTCCTAAGAGCTCTGCAGTGACTGGTCTGAATGACTACTGGCCAGTAGCACTCATCCTGATAGTTTCTAAATGCTTTAAAAGACTGGTTATGGCCCACATCAAAACTACCATAAACATCAGCGAGGACCCTCACCAGTATGCATACTGCAAGAATTGATCTACGTCTGTATGCTCTTTGTTGACTTGGGTCCGCCTTCAACACCATGATTTCCCAGACCCTGATGGAAAACTACTCACACTAGGACTAAGCCCCTCCATTTGCAACTGGGTCCTGGACTTCTTAAGAAAGAGACCGCAGTCAGTGAGGATCCACAACTTCTCCTCCACCATAACCCTCAGCACTGGTTCTCCTCAGGGATGTGTGTTGAGCCCTCTCCTGTTCATTCTGCTCACATTTGAGTGCCAGGCTGTCATATTGTAAACTTTGCAGACGATACAGCGGTGGTGGGATGCATCATAAACAATGATGAGTCCAGCTACAGGCAGGAGGTGGAACACCAGGAGAGCTGGTGCAGGAAGATGAAGGAGATGATTGTGGATTTCAGAAGGAACAAACATACCTACCCCCTGCCTGAACATAGGAGGATCTGTGGTGGAAGTGGTCTCCAATTACAAATATTTGAGTGTACACCTGAACAACCTCAGCTGGGGCAACAACACTACCAGCATCAACATGTGGCATGGAGGCTGCACAGCTGCAGAAAGAAAAGCTTTGCATAGAGTGGTGATGGCTGCACTGAAGTCTGTTGGAGTCAGCCTCCCCACCATCACAGACATCCACACCTCCAGATGCAGGAAGAGGGCCACCTGCATCATGAAGGACCCCACTCACCCAGCACACACACTTTTTGCCCCGCTTCCCTCAGGAGGAGGTTGCGGAGCATTAAGTGTAGAACCACTAGACTGAAGAACAGCTTCTACCCTGTGGCTGTTAAGACTCATAAATACCTAATAAAAAAAATCACTGTAATGCCACGTTAATTGGTGATATGTGACTGTATCTGTGCTGCTGATTATCCATGCTGCTGATTTCTTACCTTAAGCTGCTATTTTCATACCCATCTGCTCACAACAGACTCATGTTCCGGATGCTGTTTAATACACTGTATTATATTACATTATCATTGTTTAAAGTATATCTTAGATACTTGTATACTGTTTCTTTTTTTAATATACTTTATATTTTTATGTTTGGGTGTAATTGGAACCTTGATTACACAATTTCATTCCACCTCATGCACCACATGTGATGCGAATGACAATAAAGTCACCTTGAGCCTTGATCAGAACAGGGCCTGCTTCTCTCCTAATATTGGTCCAATATTAGCAGAGCCAATGCAAAAAGAAGAAAAAGAACGCCTACAATTTTTTGTAAAGCTATTAAAATTCGCATAACAAGGCACAATAAAGTCAGTGACAAAATTCATGAAAGGACTGAATAAAGTTCTATTTTATCTTAAATTGACATGAAAGGATAGGCTGCTAATATATCCCAGATGTTAATGTTAGCATACTTGTCATAGACTAAGTTAACTTTCCATCCATCCATTATCTTTTACCCGCTTCTTCCATTTTGGGTCACGGGGGTCGCCGGTGCCCATGTCCGGCAATCACTGTGCGAGGGACAGGGTACACCCTGGACAGGTCTCCAGTCCATCACAGGGACACATGGAGACAAACGAGACAAACAACCATTCACTCTCTCACTCACACCTAGGGACAATTTAGAGTTACCAGTCAGTCTAACATGCATGTTTTTGGTCTGTGGGAGGAAACTGGAGTACCCGGAGAAAACCCACGCATGCACAGAGAGCGCATGCAAACTCCACCCACAAAGGCCCCCAGACCGGGATTTGAACCGGGAACCTGCTCGCTGAGAGGCAGCGATTCTACCAGTTGCGCCACCATGCTGCCCTCCTAAGTTAATTATTATAATCTTATTCAAAGTTGTAAAAACTTATTTTGTTCTCAAGAATAGGCCCTGCTCGTTAGCCTTTTAAATGTTTTAAAAGGCAAAAAGTTGAAATAATGGATCCAAGTTTTTGCAAAAGATAATCACACATCGTTTCTCACATGAAGTTCAGGTAAAAGTTAATCTGACTGCATTTTCCTCTCTAACCTGACATTAAATTAGAGAACTGTTTTCAGTTCCATTTAATAATCATATTAATTTAGCATGCATTTCCTACTATAAAATGTTCTCCAACTACGTATGGTAAATTTCAATATTGAAATTTAGTGTGGCATGCTGGCTCAGTTGGTAGAGCTGATGCCTCTCAGTGAGAAGGTTGCCGGTTCAAATCCGGAAACGTTTCTGGGTTGAGTTTGCATGTTCTTTCCCTGCACGCATTACTCCACTTTCCCACAAACCAAACATGCATGCTAGGCTGATTGGTAACTCTAAATTGTCCCTACAGTGAGAGTGAATGTATGTCCCTGTGATGGACTGGAGACCTGTCCAGGTGTCCCCCGCAACCCCAAAAGGAAAAAGCGAGTAAAAATAATAGATGGAAATGTCATCCATGATGTAAAATGGCGGCCAACTTGAAATTTGAGCGGCTAATGTGCATTGTCTTAAAATATGCTGTCACGGCATGCTTCCACATTTCAAAGATTATTTCACCAATTTGCTCTATAAAAGAGGGAAATGTGCATTTAGAAAATTAATTGTTGTTCGATGCACTTGTCGCTGAAATAAATAAATTTACTATTTCAACATTACAACACCAGGCATGCAGCTACATTTCCTTTTTTAAAGTTGTTTTGATTAATTAGAAATTACAGTTTGAACTTATCTCGTGTTTTAAAACATTACTAAACGTGTTTTAAATCAATCATAAAATGGTGGTTTAGGACTTTTTTTTCATTACTAAGATAAAACTATTCCACATTATAAATGATAGTAAAAATATGACAAATAATGCATATAACGTGGTGGTATATAGTTACAGTACTTAATTTTGAAAAAACTATACTTGAAAAAAACTTTTTGCTAAATTGTAGCTAGCTAACCTAGCTAGCTATAACAGTAGCCCAACAAAAATGCGACTTAGTGATTCTGGTAATTCTGTTAAAATGTTCCCTCCCAAGTTTCACAAGTATATACATTCCTTCTACAAATGTTAGAAGGAGACACGTTCATTATGAACCCCTATTTAAAACGTTTTTGCGCGGTGTAAAATGCTAAGTATCTGGTCCACAGCCATTAGCTGTTAGCGTCGGTTGGTCACGTGGGTTTCCTCCGCCATTAATGTGTGTAGTAGTGGTGCTCCGAACACACAGACCTCTTTATTCTCACCCGCGGGTAAATCTTTACTCCTACAACGCTACGACTCGACATTTTTTTGTGCTTTATTACCTGATAACCCCATTACCTCAAGTTAGCATGTGTTGTTGGAACAGTTTTTAAGTCGTAAAAAAAGTTCCTGTTTTTGTTTCCCAGCTACTTCTGATTTGTTGAGGAACAGCAGCCAGCCTCTCAAAACAGCACGAGTAAGTGCGGAGCAATTAATATGTGGTAATATTAGGTATTTTTAAACAAAACATGCATGTCGTTGCTATTTTATGGATCGTATTGATTTGCAGGTACATTATTATGACGTTGTCGTATTTCTGTTGATGGATCGCGGTATTGCTGTCCTGTTGTAGCTTGACTGTTTGTCCCACCACGTCCTTTTAATTTAACGGCAGTCTGCTGCGTCGTGGTTGAAAAGTGGATAAGCCATCTGTGCACTGGAATCTGTCCACACTTTAGACAAGCATCTCTGACTTTTCCTTACATTCGTGTCCACTAAGTGTTACGTTCTCTAAAACGAAAATTTATCTTATGCGCTTACAATTTTCGCAGACAAAGCAAGTAGCAAGTTGGCTAATGGAGTTAGCGGCTAATTGCCACTGGAGGTGCTCTACTTTCCCAGCCAACGTTTCTGCGCGTGAAGTGTTCACGAGACTTTTTAAGCTGCGCTAGCTGCCAAAACGCAAGCAAGAATGTACGTTTTTAATGCGTTATTTGACCATTTGCTCAAATTAATGTCAACTTATTTGATTTAAGAGCCGTGCAATACATATGTGTTTATATGTAAACGTTTCGTATTTTTTTCTTGGAAGTCATTGTTTCGTGTAAGTTATGTTAGCAACTTAGCTAGCTCAGAAAGCTGGCTAATTTTGTCTGCTAATTACTGTGTTGCTATTATAAAAGATTGAAATATATAACTAATGCACACCAAAAGAATAACCAACATATTGATTTAATAAAAAAGACTGAATAATGGATCACAAGTTAAATTTAGTGACTTGTTAATTTGCTGAAGATGTGGCTGTTTTTTAAGTTCAACAGTGATTTTGTACTTCACTGTTTCCCATTAGCTCAACTTTGGACAAGGGTTGTCAACAAATGACTTGGATACTAATCACAAAAAAATCTAATGGTATTCTCAAAAGTCCTGCAACATTTATACTGGTCAAACTGTTGTAGTTGTTTAAATAAAATGTACTTCCTGTATGACATCTTCAACCATTCTTGTTATTTTATTTGTTGTAACTGTACTACAATGAGTACTAGGTTAGCAGTAAAGTACATATGGACTCCCCTCCCATCTTTGAGTTGTATATGTTGGACTTTTTGAACATAAGGTGGCATTTGAATCCTGCTTAAAACATTTTCTACAATAGATTTATATTGTAGTATGAGATCAATTGGCATTTTCTTTGTATGCACATCCACAGAGACAGAACATAAATGTTTTCATCAGTTGATTAAAACACTAGAATCTGTAATTCATTTACAATGATTCTCTTTTCGGTGGCTCAGTTGGTACAGCTGTTGCCTCTCAGCGAGGTTGCTGGTTCAAATCCCAACCCGAGACCTTTCTGGGTGTAGTTTGCATGTTCTCTCTGTGCATGCGTGGGTTTTCTCCGGGTACTCCGATTTCCTCCCACAGACCAAAAACATGCATGTTAGACTGATTGGTAACTCTAAATTGTCCCTAGGTGTGAGTGAGAGAGAGAATGGTTGTTTGTCTCGTTTGTCTCTATGTGTCCCTGTGATGGACTTGCGACCTGTCCAGGGTGTGCCCCGTGCCTCCCACAGTGATGGCTGGACATGGGCACCAGTGACCCCCGTGACTTGAAAAGGAAGAAGCGGGCAAAAGATAATGGATGGATGTTTATAATGGGTACAAACACTGCATGTGTTGTTGTATTTTGTCACCTTGGATATTGTTTTGTTTTTTTCTGTGGGTTTGCAGCATGGAAGAAGAGGGAAATAGTAAACCATCCATTATGACTGATATGGCTGCAGCAGAAAAGGATGATGATGATGATGATGATTTCAAAGCTAAATGGACCCAAGAAGAGGTAAGTGAAAGTCCTTTGAAAGCTAATTTTAAACCAAAATTATTATTTTAATCAAATGACCTATTTAAACTTTGTTACTGTGAGGTTATTGACTGTGTCTGAACAGTTTTTCTTTTGATATGCAGGATGAAAATCTCAAAATTCTGGTCAGCAGCTTTGGACAAAAAGATTGGAGAACAATTGCTAGTTTTTTACCAGTAAGTGCTTGTGGAAGAAAACATTACTAAACTATAATAAATGATTTTATCTAGAGAGAAGAAAAAAAATCACTGAAGCTTTGCATCAGTTTTTCTGTGAAGCTAACCAATGCTCCAAACTGCTCTATTTCCCCCCTTTAAAAATATTTGTTTATCATACCTGCAGACGTGTTGCTTTTCGGCGATCAAACCAAATATATTATTTACATCATCTAGATCCGAAGAGTTTTTTTTCTGTGGGGGTCAGAATCGTGGTAGTTCCTATTGACTGGACTTCCGTAACGCTAGCTTAGTGCTACGTTAGTGCCGACAGTTGGTGGGGGTGGTTAGGATATTGCACGACACTAGCTTAGCGCTATGTCAATGTTTGAATAATGTATCCGTCTGCCACATACAACAAGATTTTGCCCTAAGAGTTGAAAAGTCCACCTGATGGTGTTGTATAGAGAATACCTTGAAGGAGAAATATCATGTTAGGAAGAAAGAAATCAAGTAACACAATGTCCTGATGCATGTTCAATAATCCAGGTACCGGTAGTTAAATCTAACAAGGTAGAGTCAGGTTCTGTGGACGGATCCTTTATTGTTGAGACATTTCGTCTTTTATCCAGAAGACTCCTTCAGTCTGAGGAGCTGCAGTGACGGGTTTACAATGCAAGGTTGAGGAATGAATGAATGAGGAATCTGTCTCTATTCAATTCAACCTTTTATTTATACAAGTGTCACGTCAAAGACTCATTTACAAGAGACATGTTTTAAACATAGAACACAGATAACAACAGTAGACAATCATTTAAAAAAAGCATATAAAATGAAAAATAAATGGAAGAAAATTATATTAAAAACAAACAAAAGAAAAACAGCTACCGGTACATTATAAAGTGATATAAAATACCAAAAACGGGAACATGTCTGCGTTGGTTTTTGTCATGAACTTAGCAGTTGCTTGAAGCTACTTGGCGAGTTCACGGTCGAGAGCTTTTTGTAAGATGTTCCAGGATAAACGAGCAGACGCTCTAAAATAGTCGTTTAATCAAGTGTTACTTATGTAGGTAAACATAAATGTTTAACAACCCGTTAAAATATACCAGAATGCAGGGAATGGCATCTAATTTTTTCAGAATTTTCTGGGGGAGAACCCCCAAACTCCCCCGCCAGTGTCTCTCCCCACCCACCCCATTACAAATGCTTCTGACGCCAATGATGAAAGAGGCGCATGATCATGCAGCAAAACAGCTCCTTGAAAGTCTTGTCCAGGCCAAAACACTTTAAGCAATGAGTTTTTGCTATTACCATAGCTAAATGCTCTTCTATATTTGGTTTCTCTGGCTTGCTGCTGTTGTTGCTTGTTTACTTTTTATTTTTTGGTTGGCGCCATCTTTCCTATGTATGTTCTAATCTAATTAGAATATGTTAGTAAATGTCTTTTTACCTGAAGCATGTTGTCTTTTCCCCTAATTTTCTTCTTGGAGGATCAGGTTGCTTAGTTTGCATGTTAAAAGTCACCCCACCACCACACATTACAGGCTCTGTGTTTGTCACCTTTTTCATCCCTTGTGAGTTTGCATGTGTTTTATTTTATTTTTTATTTATTTTTGTTACAGGGGCGATCAGAAATACAATGTATGGTTCGCTGGAAAAAACATCTGAGTCCTGACATTATCAAAGGCCCTTGGTCCAAAGAGGAAGATGAAAAGGTAGGAAAAACGCAAGCCGGCTTACGTTTGTGTGCAAAACTTTACATAAACGTTGAGGTGCTCTGGATAATAAAATGGCAATCAGGATCTTTTTTGTTGAACACAGCAAATTTTTCTGTGACTCCAGACGTAGAAAATTGGTATTTGTTTTTGCAGCTCCAGTTTTTCATGGCTTTATCCAATGCTCTTGCAACCAGAACTAGTTCAGATTACATATGTCACACTAAATGGAATTTAGAAAGTAGCTATGTTTACATGTGCAAAATTCTTTGACTGGATTGAAATGTTTTCAGATTAAATAATTCAAATGTATTGTTTACATGGGCATAATCCGTTCACGATGAGTGCTTCTTCTAAATAGAGGTACTGGCATGCACAGAGTGGTAAACTCTCCTTAAAAAAACCACAGATGAAGAAGTTCTACTTCCGTGATAAACGTAAACAAACCTGAGCGCCCAAAATGGACCCGCAACAGGTTTTAATGACTGTGGAGACGTTACTGCACTCCCAGATTGAGCTACAGGTAATACAGATAATTTTGAGCTCTTTTAAAGTTTCTAGTAGAAATGTGTCGCTCACCGACCAGTTTTGCTTCCCCGACATGCTAATATTATTGTCATCTAACTAGGTGGAAATACGTGTGGTAGACAAAGTTAGTCATGGAGTTCCTCAAGGTTCAGTTCTTGGACCAATACTCTTTACTTTATATATGCTTCCATTAGGTAATGTTATTAAACAGAATGGGATACATTTTCATTGTTATGCTGAATTATACACAATTGTATTTGTCATGAAACCCAATGAATCCAATCAGCTACTTAGACTACAAGCATGTCTTAAAGAGATAAAAACCTGGATGATTCTAAATTTTCTGCTTTTGATACAGACAAGACTGAGGTTTTAGTTTTTGAACCTGAGCATCGTAGGAATAAATTTTCCAGTCTTTCTCCCTCCTTAGATGGCATTAATCTGGCCTCCAGCTCTAATGTTAAAAATCTTGGTGTTATTTTTGATCAGGACATGTCTTTTAACCCCCGCATTTAAAACGTTACAAGTATGGTGCACCGATTGCAGTTTTCTGGCCGAGCACCGATTTCTAAAAAGTCTGACCTGCCAATTCCGATCTTGGCCGATAACAATTTTTGTTTTATAAACAACACTGTCAGGTGTTATAAGGTCACAATGCACCTTCAATTTTCCAATCTTATTTTGTTGAAAAACATACCCTTGAACAACATACTAGAAACAATACAAACATGTTTTAACTGGCCATGAGGTATCTGGAATATAAATGAAGTTCAGACAATTGTTGTTAAAACTAAAAAAAATTGGTAAAATCGGCTTCTCATGCAAGTATCAGCCGATTTCCCAAAATTAAGGTGCACCCCTAGTTACAAGAACCGCCTTCTTCCACCTGCGTACTATCACTAAAATTAAAAACATCTTATCTAAAAATGATGCAGGAAAAACTGGTTCATGCATTCGTCACGTTGGACTGGACTATTGCAATGGTTTGTTATCTGGGTGTCCAAAAACTTCTTTAAAAAATTTTAAGTTAATCCAAAGTGCTGCTGCCAAAGTCTTAACTGGAGTTAGTAGGAGAGATCATATCTCTCCAGGTTTATCCTGATGCATGCTCAATAATCCAGGTAGAAAAAACCCAAAAAAGAGGACCAGATTGAACTTTTTTGGGTCTCCAGGTTTAGTTTCTCCATTGGCTCCCTGTCAAATCCAGAATTGAATTCAAAATCTTAATTCTAACCTACAAAGCTCTCAACAACCTAGGTCCATCTTATATTAGAGATCTTGTTCCATATATTCCTAACAGCACTTTGCTCTCAGACTGTAGGCGCTATCGTGGTTCCTAGAGTTTCCAAAAGCAGAATTGACAGAATTGCACTCTAAAACAGCTGTAGAAATGTGGAACTTTCTAAGTTATATAAAATAAAATTTTGACCAAGCAATATTCTCCCATCATGTTGTTTTTCTGTTTCTGCTTATCCTGTTCTGAACAGATGGTGGAGCTGGTGGCCAGGTTTGGCACCAAAAACTGGGCTGCAGTTGCTAAGCACCTAAAGGGTAGGATGGGAAAACAGTGCCGTGAACGATGGTATAACCAACTTGACCCGATTCTTAACAAGAGTACCTGGACTGATGAAGAAGACCTCATTTGCTACAAAGCTCATTGCATTCTTGGTAATCGGTGGGCTGAGATTTCCAAGCTGCTCCCTGGACGGTGAGTGGTTGGTTAATCTGTTGGATAATGGGCTGCTATTTGTTTGTATTGTTTTTTTTTATTTTTTTATCTTAACCAAGAAAAACCTGATGTTTTATTTTGGTTTATGTGAAATTCTCCTGCAGATCAGACAACTCTGTAAAGAACCACTACAACTGCTCGATCAAACGCAAAGCCGAGCTAGGCATGTTCAAGGATGTATTTGACACAGTTTCCATTAATATTCAAAATTTTACGGATGGAGAGGTAAAATAGTCTTATCTCAATTTGTACACTGGGCTAACAATTTTCAATTGTACTGGTTATAAAAGTACTGAGTAGACTAAATTCTAATTGTTGGCCATGCCTGGTAAAACATTAGTTATTGCAAGAGCTGCTAATGAAGTAAATATTAAACAAATCTGTGGGTGTATGGAAATATATGTATCATTGTGTGATCAGGTTGTTTATTTAAGAAGTGTTTTGTAGCACTGTTACTTGTTTATTTACTTTATGTTGTGTAATAGGTGGACTTCAAATGTGATGTCGTAATAGACGCTGATCCAGTGAATCCTGAACTTGTAAGTTGGCTTTTGAAAGTTTTTGTTTAAATGTCCAGAAGAAGGACACTGTTGTAAGAACTCGTTTTTGTTAACAAACTTGTTTTTCCGTTTGTTCTCTTGGGTTTACTTCAGGTCAAGTCTCAGAGAGTAAAACAGACCAAGGAGAACGAGAAAGAAAAACAAAAGAAGGCTGTTCAAGCTCATCAAAACCCTGCATCAAAAGAGTCGTCCTCCACTTGTCCTCCTTTGCCCCACAGTTCAAGTTCCAGTCCAAGTTCTGTTGTTGTGTCCGTTACTCAGGTGGAGCAGAAAAGGTTTGCTGAAGCAGCACTGAGAATGATCGCTGAAGACATGCTGCCACTCAGGTGAATTTTACTACTGATGGCTGACAGTGTCAGGTTATCAGATTAGTTTGAAAGTGCCTATTAAAAAATGTATTTTCTCTCTCGTCTTCACAGTTTTGTTGAAGGCACAGGCTTCAGGTCATTCATGAGTACCATCAGTCCAGAGTACAGCAAACTTTCCCAGCGTGCCGTTGGCCTTCTGCTTTATGAGGAAGTGGAACGAACCATCAAACCAAAGCTCATCCGTGACCTCAAAATGTCCCTTGCCAAAACCACAGATGGTAAAAATTTAATTCATGTCACTTGTGACCTGTGGGCGGGAGATTCAACTGAACATTTGGATGATCCCATGCTCGTTGTGCAGCTCCACTTCCTTAACGAATCCTGGCAGCTTCGTCGTCCTATTGTGGCCTTTCGTCACCTCAGCCATAAAAAACTCAGTACTGTTGTGGCCAAGGAGATTGAGGGTGTGCTGCTGAGCTACGGCATCTTTCCACAAACCATTGGATACATCTTTGCTAACCAGGCCAAAGAGCTGCTATCTGGAAACAACTTGTTTTGTGACTACAGGATCGTATGTTCGTCTAACAGGGGAGAACCAGACGTGGATGAAATCTTGACTTTTTTGTCAGACCGGTCCTCTGAAACACAGTCCCCGTTTTCCAAGTTGCAGACTGGGATAAGAACGACATGTATTGTCAGAATGTTGCAGACTGTTATCAAGGATGCTCTAAAGAATTCCAGAGTAGTTGAGAACCTGCTCTCACAAGCCCACAATGTTGTAGCTTTCTTTAGGAAATGTGCCTACTGGAGTGAGGTAAGACCCTGTCTAAAACTGTAAAATTCTGTTTTCTCTAGTCCTCTTGAAATGTGCGTGATCATTTATGTGTGCATTTGTTAGCAAATTGACTCATGAACCAGTGGTTGGATAGAACTCTCATCTCAGTCATTGGATGTACACCATAACTTTTAAAGTCAGCCCAGTTCAAGCAGGCTGAACTTGGTGAACACAACAATGTTTTTAAGTCACTTTTACAGATATTAAGCTAAAATGTGGTCCCCCTGTTGCTGAATCGTCATTCACAACTCATGTACCTTGTTAGCATGAGCTCACACCTACTGTTCTATTCAGGATTTGTATACAAGGACCATACTGTCTTTTTTTTTTTGTAGTAAAGAATTTGATTTTAGTTTTTAACTTTGACATGAAATGCAGCAGGCCACATGAACTTCATGAAGGCATTTTTTTATGCAGTCAAAGTGATATTTTTGTCTTTGCAAAAAAAAAAAATCACATTAAGCGCATGAAAAATTAATAGACCTATCATTACTTGAAGGAATCATGTTGCAGTTTTAACTACGATAGTTGGAAGTTTTAACTGTTAACCAGGTCAATGCAGTGACAAGCCAAGTGACAATCATAGTTTTATCTTGCATCCGAAAACGATTACATTTGTCACAGAAATAGATTTTGTTTATTGCAAAACTTAAATGTTTAATACTTTCGAAGTGTCTCTGCTTGAACATTCATAAAGAGAATTAAACAGAATCTTGATAATTTTAATTGTTTTTTTATAAAGTGACCTAACCAAAAACAATGTGCTGTTTTGTGTAGCTAGACTGTCTTATCAATACGGGTGCACCGGTTGCAGTTTTCTGGTCGATCACCGATCTCTAAAAAGTCTGAACTGCCGATTCTGATTTTGGCCGATAACGACGGTGTTCTATAAGTGACACTGACACGTGTTAGAAGATCACAATGCACCTTTAATTCTCCAATCTTATTTTATTGAAACACATACCCTTGAACAATATCCTAGAAACAATACCAACTTGTTTTAACTGGCCATGAGGTAGAGCTCTGAAATATAAAAAGTTTAGACAATTGTTGTTAAAACTACAAAAAAAATCAGTAAAATAATTTTCTCATGTAAGTATCGGCCGGTCTCCCAAAATGAAGGAAATCGGGGCCGGTGCACCTCTACTTATTAATGTTGTGAATCTTTAGTAAATCGATTACTGTAAATACATTATTGGATTTTACCACATTGATTTAAAGAAGGTACGATTGTGAACTGTTGGAATGAAATCTCAAATTATTTTTTTTTAAGTTAGCTTCTTTAACCTAACCCTTTAGCTAACATTTTTTTTGAAGCCATTGATACGTATTCAGCCTGTACAAGGTGAAAAAATGACAACTATTTTGGGCACATCTGTTCTACAGATCAAGGAATTTTACAGCAGGGAACTTGTGATTTTACAAAGCCGTTTGTTTTTTTAACCCTTGTTTTGTTTTTAAGGCTCTGTTGAAGGAGTGCAACGTGTCTCTGTGCCCTTCCTCCAGTAATTGTCGCTGGAACTCCATGATGCTATCCTTACGACGTATGGTGCAGGAGACTACATGGAGCACCGTCATGACTCTCCTGGCCCAGGCTCGTATAGAGGCCACAGACTCATCCAGCGCCCCCCCACTGGTCATGGTCAAGAGGGAGCAGGTGGCTGATATTCTGGGTCTTCTTCAGCCTTTTGAGGAGGCTTTGCAGGTAACACATTTTAACAAGAATCTTCTTCAAGTAAAGACTTTGTTAGTCATTCTTGTTGCCTGTTTTTACCTAGGTCCTCCAAGGTAATGGTGTGACCATCTCTTTTATCATACCCTCCCTCATCAACCTTGATAAGAACTTGGAGAACTGTGCCACTAACTACATGCACTTTTGCAAGGCCCTGCGTACCGGCCTTCACACACATTTCCAGTCTCTGATTTACCAGTCAGACATCCTGCTTGCTACAGTGCTCGATCCCAGACTCAAACTGCAGGTATTGATTTATGATAGAAGCATCCGTCTACAATTAGGTACATTCAGAAAGAAAATATTAAATTATCTAATAACTAAAATCTCTGACTGATGTCTTTTTTCAGCCATTTCCTGATGCCAAACTGAAAGCTGAAGAGAATGTCTTAACACCTCCATCAAAGTCTGAAGTTCACAGCATCCTAGCAGCGATATTATACTGCAAGAAGGTCTCAGAATCCTCTCCTGAGTCTGAGGTGGCAGGCAACGAGACAGCAAGCACCGAGCAGACAGAGGAGCAGGCTGAGGGAAGAGAAAGACAACCCAAGGAAACCGAGGAAACTGGCATCTCAGATGATATGTTGGACGAAGTCAGCAGAAACAACTTCAAGCGCAAGTCCATCTTTAGCTCCATCCTGCCTCCTGCAAAGACTATGAAGATGTCAGAGTTTGACCAGTACCTGTCGGAACCCGTCTTGGAAAATGTATTCATTCTGTCCTACTGGAAATCTGCCCTTCGCTTCCCACGACTGCAAGAGATTGCCAGGAAGCTGCTGGCTGCACCAGCTACCACTGGGGGATTCGACCGCCTTTATCCGATGGCAACATGTATCGTGAAAGCCAAACGGAACCATCTCCTTCCTCACACCACAGAGCGACTGCTCCTGTACAGAAACACTGTTAAAACTAGTCCTGTTAACAAGGTCGGCGGAGTTCCTAAAAAGTGAAGAGCCAAGCGACACTTGAGTCTCGTTTTCATCCAGATCTACCCAAGTGTTCTTGTTTCACCCAGCCGAAGCTCTGAAAGTAAGCTGCTGAACTAGTTACTGTAGTTACTTTGTAATAAATGATTAAATAAAATCTCATTAACTGTTTGTAAATAAATGTAGGTTTTTTTTTTTGCACATCATGGAAAATTGTAATTTGTCTGAACTGTGACTCGAGAAAAAATTATAGCCCCAGGATGAATCTTTTTGTTGTTGTTAGAGTTCTAATCAAAGGAAGAGAACATGTACTTTTGGAGAATTTCAAACTTTCTGACTATGCTCTTGAGATATTTTTATTTTTTATTTAACTTTTATTTATACAAGTAGACTCATTGAGTCATGAGCACTAATTTTCACGAGAGACCTGTTTATCAAGAAAGATTAAAAATTATTGTACACCTTTTACTTTTCAAAGAAAGCAGCATGGTGGCTCAGTTTGTAGACCAGTTGCCTCTCGGCAAGAATGTCGCCGGTTCAAATCCCCAGAACCTTTCTGGGTGGAGTTTGCATGTTTTCTCCGTGCATGCGCGGGTTTTCCCCGGGTACTTCGGTTTCCTCCCACAGAACAAAAACATGCATGTTAGACTGATTGGTAACTCTAAATTGTCCCTAGGTGTGTGAGAGAGTGAATGGTTGTTTGTCTCATTTGTCTGTGTGTGGCCGGGGCCCTGTGATGGATCTGCAACCTGTCCAGGGTGTACCCCGCCTCTCACATAGTGACTGCTGGATATAGGCACTAGTGACCCCCGTGACCTGAAAAGGAAGAAGTGTATAAAAGATAATGGATTACTTTTCAAAAATGAATGAAAAGATTCTGATTGCAGTAAAATGAGTTGACCTTCAAGTACTACACCACCTTAAATGTGCGTAAAGGAAACTCATCGTGTGCTGTTGGTTTTTCCAGTTTATTTTTTTTTCTTTGTATCAAAATGTTAAATTACTTGATGTTTAGCAAATCTTACTAGTGATGTACACATTTTTGTAAGCAGTATTTTTTCTTTAATGAATCGTTAATACTGTGTGCAGAGGACTGTTTTGGGATACTTCAGTGACTTACTGGTAATTGCTCTTTGGCTTTTTAAGCAGCGTGTAAATCATTGCTCTTACACATGCTGAAGATGTCTGACGTCTATTTCTTGCTCTAAAGGGAGAGGTTTATTTTTGACGTATGCATTTTTACATTGTGGGAGAAAACAAAAATGTGACCTTGTGTCTTCACACAGAAAAGTAATTGTGTGAAATAAAGATGTTTTGGAATATTTGTGACTAAGACGTTTATCTTGATCATTAAACACGATGAAAGAAAATATATCGGAACATTTTCATGTTGATGGTAGTTTCTCTATAATTTTTTTCGCATATCTGATTGGTGGAACGGTTCCTTACGTCATACGTAAACTGCGCTAATTTTTTACGTATATCTGATTGGTGGAACGGCTCCTTACGTCACGCGTAAACGGTGCTTCACATTCTGCTTCCGGGATCATGACTACACGTGCGACTAAATCCGAAGACTCCACATTAAATACGATCAAATAACATTTCATTAAGCTTTTCAACACAAATAAGCAAAGAAGGAGGACAGGTAACGCGTCAGGGCTGTTTTCTAAAGTAAAATTAATAACTTTGAGGTTTTAGGGGAACGTTTCCATCATGGCGCTGTACTTGAAAGCCGCTGAAGTCCTGGAGAAAGCCGAGAGGAAACAGGGCGCGCTGAAAACTCTGGTCTACGACAGTAAATTCCCGAACATCAAGCAGCTGTTCGCTCTGGTTTGTGAGACACAGAAGTATTCCTCCGTCCTGCAGGAGATCATCGAGTCCACGAAGCTGCTCAAGCTCACCAAGTGGAAGATGCCGCTAGCCAAAGTGCTGGTCCACGACCTGTTGATGGGTCAGGGGCTGAAGTGCGGCGGGCCCTGGAAGTCCGCCATGATGAAGCACCGGCCCAGGCTGCAGGCACAGCTGGCTCGCATGAAGGTGAAGCAGAAAGTCAGCAGGAATGAAGACCTTCTCCCTGCCAGCGCCCAGCAGTCCGATGGCGACCAGTTACCCAGGTATGTGCGTGTGAACACTCTGCAGACCACCGTGGAGGATGTGGTGGACTACATGAAGAGGGATGGTTTCTCCTACCTGGGACAGGCTGTCACGCTGGACAACCTGAACCTGAAGGGGAAGAACTTTGTGATGGACCTGCACCTACCAGAGCTGTTGGCCTTTTCACCTAAAACAGACTTTCATGACCACTTCCTGTACAAATCTGGTCACATCATTCTGCAGGACAAAGCCAGCTGCCTTCCAGCCCATCTCCTCCACCCTCCGCCTGGTAGTCACGTTCTTGACGCCTGTGCTGCTCCTGGCAACAAAACCAGCCATCTAGCAGCCATCATGAGAAACAAAGGCAGGTTGTTCGCCTTCGATTTGGACGCCAAACGTTTGGCCACTATGTCGACGCTGCTGCTCAGAGCAGGAGTCACCTGCCATCAGCTGGCCCACCAGGACTTCTTGAAGGTGGACCCCGACTGCTTACAATATAAAGATGTTGAATATATCCTGCTGGATCCGTCCTGCAGCGGATCAGGTATCTAGTTGACCAAGTTTCTTTAAAATGTGTCGGATAATCAGAGCTGGAATCAACCATTTGTGGGTTTCAGGTATGGTGTGCCTGCGGGACAACGCCGCTGCTGACCAGGAGAAGGAGAAGGCTCGTCTGACCTCCCTGGCCTCCTTCCAGCTGCGGTGCCTGAACCATGGCCTCAGGTTTCCCCGCCTGAAGCGACTGGTTTACTCCACCTGCTCCGTTCACACGGAGGAGAACGAAGAAGTCGTAGCTGCCTGTCTGCAGCAGAACCCCAGCTTCAGGTACAGCCCACTTCCACTGAACCGAATGGCACGTTTACATTTGTTTGTGTTCGCTGTCGTTCAGTATTCTCTCTAAAACTGTCCCATCTGGATAACGTACATGATGTTTAAATGTCTCGTTGACTTCCTTACCCTGCTCAGGAACAACCAAGATGTTTCTGCAAGCAACCAGTCGAGCAGTACTGTACGTTTTCACTTTGCAGCAATATATGTGTACATTGCTGCAAGTGTCATCTTACTGGAAAGTTTGTATGGCACATTTGTTAAACGATGTTTTCTTTGTGCTTGACTAAACACCTCTAATGGAATCTGGTTTTCCATTCCTCCTCTAGATTTTGACTTGGATAGTTTATTTCTAACAAAATTTGGGTTTTAAACTGGGATTTTCATGTTTGAGAAGAAACGAGGCTCTTGAACGTGTCATATAGTCGCTGAGCTTCAGGTTTATTTAAACATCAATGTTGCAAAATTATACATAAAAAAAGGAGCAATTGTTGAAAGAACGCAATCACTTTCTGCCATTTGTTCCAATATTTTAGAACAATGTATCAAATTGTTCGTGCTCAGGGCTTGTGCTGAGGATGAACCTCGGCTACCATCACATTAAATTTTAGCTCAATATCTGTCATTATGACAGTTTGAGACATTTATGTGCTTTGGTGGCCATCTTGAATCATATTTAAAACTTAATCAGTGGACGATGTACATTGGGGTCAATAAGTATTTGATCCACTGCGGATTTTGCAAGTTTTCTCACCTACGAAGAATGAAAAGGTCTGCAGGACAACATGTGAGCAGCCTGGTGAGAAGGCAACAACTGTTGGTGCAATTATTACAAAATAGAATAAACACAAAATGTCCGTCAATCTTCCTCGGTCTGGGGCTCCGTGCACGATCTCGCCTGGTGGGGTAAGGATGATTCTGAGCAAGGTCAGGATTCAGCCCAGAACTACACAGGAGGACCTGGTCAATGACCTGAAGAGAGCTGGGACCACAGTCTCAAACACTACGTGGTCATGGTTTAAGATCCTGCAGGACACACAAGGTCCCCCTGCTCAACACCAGCACACGTCCAGGCCCGGTTGAAGTTCACCATTGACCAGCTGGATGATCCAGAGGAGACATGGGTGATGGTAAAGTGGTCAGATGAGACCAAAATAGAGCTTTTTGGTATCAACTCCTCTCACCATGTTAGGAGGAAGAAGAAGGATGAGTACACCAAGAACAGCGTCCCAACCGTGAAGCATGGGGGTGGAAACATCATGCTTTGGGGTTGCTTTTCTGCAAAGGGGACAGGACGACTGCACCGTATTGAAGGGAGGATGGATGGGGTCATGTATGGTGAGATTTTAACAAACGACCTCCTTCCCTCAGTTAGAGCGTTGACGATGGGTCGTGGCTGAGTCTTCCATCATGACAACGACCCCAAACACAATCAGGGCAACTAAGAAGTGGCTCCATAAGAATCTTTGGCTAGGCCACTCCAGAACCTTGGAAGTCTCAAGACCTGAACCCAGTAGAAACTCTTTGAAGGGAGATGAAACTCAACGTTGCCCAGCGATAGCCCTGAAACCTCAAAGATCTGGAGGAGATCTGTGGAAAAGTGGTCCAGAATCCTGCTGCAGCGTGTCCAAACCTGGTCACGAACTATCAAATACTTATTCCAGGCAATAAAATTCAAATGAATTAAAATCATACAATGTGATTTTTTTTTAAAAATTAGATTCTGTCTCTCACAGTTGGTTTACAATAAAAATTACACACCTCTTTGTTCTTTGTAGGTGAGACAACTTGTGAAATCTGCACTGCATCAAATACTTATTTCCCCCAGTGTATATCCAGTTATTGTTTATAAAGGTTGCATTAAAACCCGTCCAGTGGTTCGTGCTCTGCTGAGTCGCCAACTTCATATTCTATATTACTATTGTATATTCATATTGTATATTCATATTTCGTATGCCAGAAATGTTATTGAGATGATCCAGCAGCTTGGGTCCACTCAGATTAACACATGAAGAAGTGTTATTTAGTTTAAAGTTTTTGTTTTCCTGTGCAGGTTGGAGCATCTGCTGCCTCAGTGGCCTGAACGAGGACTGGAACCTCTCTCCCAGTGTTTGCGTGCCAGCACCAGTAAAACCCTCACTCACGGCTTCTTTGTTGCTCTGCTGGAAAAACGCAGTGAGAGCGTGAAGACGGAACCTGTGGTTCAGAAAAGGTGAATTCTTGGAGGTTCATTTAAAAATGTCCATTTTGAAAGTCTTTTCAGTAATTTTACCTGCTTGAAAATGTTTAAATCTGTGCATTTTGATGGTTTTAATGTCTGAAATAAAGAAGAAACTTTACCCTGGACTTAATTTGAACCCTGTTTATTTGATATTTACAGTTAAAAGTGGTGCGTTATTTCAATTTAATCTTGTTTCAGTAAGGTTCAAAACAGTTGAGGCCGTTTTTTTAATCTATCATAAGTGCAAACGTTTTGTTTCTAGTTGATCATCTTCATATGAATGATTATCTAACTTTTAATTAAATGTATTAAAACTGATTCTACTTGTTGAACAAGTCGATTCTTTACCGTTTTGTTTGTCACAGTGACGTGGAGGCGACGCCGACTGATCTCTGTGTTTGTGAGGGAGAACCTGCAGCTCCGGAGGAAAACTCCGAGGCCTCAGACACGGAGGAGAAACTGACGTGCACAGGAGAGACTGCCGCTTCACCCAACAAGAAGAGTAGGAGGAAGAGAAGGAAGAAAAAGAAGACGAAACAAAAAGCAGAGTGAAAGACTGTGTTGTGTTGCATAGAGGGAACTCCCTGTTGTTTCCCAACAGGAATGAGATGAATTTAAATGTAAAGATGATTTTTACTGTCACATCTCTCTGGTTCTTCATTGTTCCAGGTACTCTCAACAATTTGAACATTTGAAGCCTCGTTATAAATGTGTCCAGCAGGGGGCAGCAGAGTTGCTGAAGAGAATAGTTTCATGCTGGGAAAAAAAAAACTACCCCAGACCCAAATCAAGACTTTACTGCTTCTTTAAAGCAACATTTTTCACACTTTATTGTCATAGGGTTCAACTTAGGCTAAGCTAAACTAGACATTTATTCTTTAATCTGTTTCTGTAGGCACCAAAGCAAAACTTCAACCCTTGTTTCAACTGTATGACTAATTTATTTACAAAGGTGACAGCGATCAACTGCACACCTGTCCAGTGGTTGAAACTGGCCTGTTTGTGAACATTAACATCGAGCTGACGGCAGTATGTGCAGGACTTCCAGAAAACACTTAAGTTAATATTTAATTGCAGAAGTTGCAGTTAAAAACACTGGACTTCCAGCACTCTGAAGAAAATAAAGTCCTCCGGGTCATAATTTTAAGTTACGTTAGTTATATTGGCATGAGTCATAATTTTGATAATGCATCTTTTAATTATGACTTGGTGAGATCTGTTTTTCCTCCTCATGGGCCTCCATTAGACACCACCATGACAAGTTCAGCTTCCTGCAGGAGTCTGATCCCTGGACTGGCAGTAAATCTAAAGGAGTCCGTCTGCTTTCATTCTTCAGGCATGAAAAAGGTCCAATTTATGTGTCATGTTATTTCCTTTGTATCTTAAATATGTTTATATCTGATATGAACTTAAAGGAAGAGTCAGGCATTGAAGAAGCTTAAGGCATCATGTTCCTGGGTCGTCCACTGCAAAAAGAATCCAACAAATCTGAACTCACTTTTATCAAACACTGAACAGATTTATATTGTTTTATAGCCTAACTCTGCTTCAAGCTTCTCAGCTTTATCCATAACCTGTTGGGTGTGTTCCTTGGTCTTCATGATGCTGTTTGCTCATTGTTTGTAATAAATCTCTGAGGCCTTCACAGGACAGCTATTTTTACTGAGATTAAATTGTTCTGGATTTTAGTCAATGTATTAACGTATAAAGGGTTGAATACAAAGGCACGCCACCTTTTTCAAGTTTTTAACTTGTTTTTTTGTGTGTAAAATAAATTGAAAGCCATGTGTAGTATTTCTTTCACTTCACAATCATGCACTACTTTGTGTTTGTCTATCACATAAATTGCCAGTAATATACTATATACACTATAAAAAGTATAAACTTTCTACACCCAGTGTGGATCCCACAGTATTTTTTTTAATCCTACATGCAATCTGCCAGTTCAACTTAGTTTTCTCACACACACACCTGAACACCACACAGGCCCACGCCGTGCAGCAGGAGTTGGGGTTAAAGGTCACTCAGAATAATAACATTAAGTCTGAAATTGTCAGCTGAAATATACAACGGGGGCAGGATAAAAGTTCTCAGCGTTTTGAGAAAATGAAAACTTTTTCTTTGAAGTCACCTGACCACAACCCATCAGCTGATCGTCTAAATGATAAAAAAATAACCACTAATGCATTGAGCCACAATCAAATATTTAGCTGTAAATATTTTTGTAGTATTTAAGTTTTCATCATGCTCACCACACTGTCATCATAACCTCATTTTATAATGTCCACTTTAACAAAAAACATTTTTAGACAACAGATAAAATTGACTAAAGTCGCCCGCGTGCTTCTTGGCATCCTGTATTTTCACTCACAGGTACGGCAGCCTGTAAATCTTTGAACAGCCTTTAAATTATTGACACACATTAAATTTTGAGACCAGAGCAGCTTCGACTTGAAGCAGCAGACCCAACTACCAGCCTGTTTTAAGGTGTGGCTGCACGTCATGCTGGATGAAGAAACAGAAACAACTGGTACAGAACACCCATAATAATGGCTGCCCTGATAAATAAGATTTAAAAACAAGCTTATGGAAATCATAACTAACGGTATTAGGTTGTTCTCTCACATAGGTCTAAACAAATTGAAAGTTTGACTTTTACATGTTTATTTTCCTTACAGTCACGTTCACATCCAGTTGAACATTTTTAGACTGAGCTCTTCTTGTAGGCACCTGCTCGCGATAATCCAAACATGCAAAACTTTACAGTCTAAATGAATTAGTGAAATATATTTATACCACCACCAAATGTAACCAATTAAACCATGAATGAATTCACGTGGTTAGAGTAAAATAACATGAAGATGTGCACGATTCCCTGTAAGACAGAACTCTGCACTGGGTTGCAGTTGTTTCTGCCATTTCAGTGGACAAAAAGAAATATCAAAGACACAAAAAGTGTGAAGAATCCATCCATTTATTCGTGTGAAGCAGTCCCAACAACAATCAGAGGCAGGAGATATCCTGATGCATGCTCAATAATCCAGGTAGAAAAATGGAACAAAGTTAAATCGGGTCCTCTGGACGGATTAAAAACATTTTCTGAAATGTTTCGTCTTTTATCCAAAAGACTTCTTCAGTCTGAGGAGCTGCACTAAACTCAGTCTTATAAATAGCACCTTCTTATAGTGGATCAACCAGTTTATGCTGGTGACTGCCAGAACTAGCTGTTCACATGCAAAAGGAGGACCATCAGCCTAATCGATCATTAGTGCCCTGATGGCCACTTGCTATTCACAGAGGGCTGAGTGATGCAATAACAGCATTGTAAGAGGGGGACAATTGGACACGGAGGCCTCCGCCTGTTTAATTATGGACGGGTATCCTGTATTCACTGGTTAACTGGTCATCATTAACTTCACACAGACTCTCTCACTGGTACATTTTCATCTTTAAATCACTTCTTGGTCTGCTGCCTTCATACATCTCCTCCTACATGTCTCTGTGTGAGTGCAGTTACAGCGTGCGCTCTCAGGACATTATTACCTGCAGTGTCCCCTCAGTGAGGACTGAACTAGGTAAAAGGACCTTCTCCTACTCCGCTCCTGTTTCCTGGAATATCTTGCAAAAAGATCTTAAGTTCTCGACCTTGACCTCTCTAAGGGACTTTAAACATCTAAGTTCCTGACAAAAACCAATGCAGACATGTTCCTGTTTTTAGTTTTCTACATCGCCTTATAATCGAGCTGGTTTTTTGCTACTATTTCTCTTGATTGTCCTTTTGGTTACTATTTTGTTTTGATTGTTTTGATTTGTAAAAAAAAAAAAAAGGAAATTTGTATACCCATGTCTATTTTATGACTATCTATTGTTGTCGTTGTTATTCACTGTTGTCATCACTCTTTGTTAAGAATGATCGATCGATTAGGCTGATGGTCCTCCTTTTGCATGTGAACCGCTAGTTCTGGCTGTCACCAGCAAACTGGTTGATCCACTATGAGAAGGTCCTATTTATAAGACTGAGTTTAGTGCAGCTCCTCAGACTGACAAAGTCTTTTGGATAAAAGACAAAACATTTCAACAATTTTTAAATTTTATTTATTTTTTATCCATCCAAAGGACCTGATTTAACTTTGTCAGAGTCAGGAGAATTAAAACCAGTCAGCGTTCAAACTGGAGATTCTCCACAAACCTGCCGGCCTCTGGTAAGGTTTACAGAGTCACACTGAGCCTGGGAAGAACGAGACAGCACAGATACAAAAATAAAATAAAAGACTGAAATCTGAACAACAACCACTGTCGTTTACTCAAAAACACCAGAGCACCACCAGAACTTTTTAGAGGCAGGAAAAAACTAAAGTGTGAATATCTGTGAGTGAAGAGGAGGAGCGGGTGTCTGACCTCACAGATGACAGAGAAGCACCTTTCATTTTGATCAAATTAACTTTTAGGTTGTTCTACAAGGACGAGAGCCTGAAGCGCCGCCTTCTCCTTTGTGTACGTTGGTTTGTTGTTTCCATGGTGAGCCCAGGTTAACCACGGAGTCAGTCCTGCGGCCTTCTTACTTGGCGTTGGTGGAGCTGCTGAGCATCTTCCTGACTGCCTGGGCGATGGCGTCGCGATCGATGCCGAAGATTCGGAGCAGCTCGTGGGGCTTGCCGCTGCGGGGCACCTGGGAGACCGCCAGGCGGTGAACAGTGAAGCCGCTCTCGTTCACCAAAGCGGAGCACACGGCCTCGCCTAGACCACCTGTGGGTTACGGAGCAGACAGAACAAGTGATGCACACGTTGGGAGATTATTTGTACACACAGTCAAGCCTTTTTGTTACTGTCCTAATCCGCCTTCCTGTCATAATCAGCCTCCGAGCACAGCCATGAGGGATGGAGCTGTGTCAGGATGTGATGTGGACAGACACCACCCTCCTGCGCCTTTCTCACACCTCTGTTGTCACACTTTTAGATTAAGTATTGTAAACACAGCTCTTGCTGCTCACAGAGATTATTACTGCACGGTTAAAACTCACCGTAGTTTAACAACACGGAAAAGTAGCATCTTAAACCTGCAGGAAGCCATTTAATGGATTTTACCGTATTTTTCGGACTATAAGGCGCACTTCAAATCCTTTAATTTTCTCAACAAAACCCCCCCCCCAAACAATGAGTCTTATAATCCAGTGAGCCTTATGTATGAAAACAGACACGTTCGTTGATATTGCGCCTTATAGTCTGAAATATACAGTAATTAAATTTGCTGCAGAAAGTAATTCAATGTTCATCTACATATATGGAAGCGAATGTGTCTCAGTTTTCAAATTAAAATGGATTAATAGAAATGCTTTTCATTTTCAAAATAAAGCTGCACGTTTTGACTCATAAATAAAAATAAAATCATCCAAACTGCATTTTCATTTTCTTCTCCAAGACTGCTCAGTTTGTAAATTAATTAAAAACGATAAAGAAAATAACGTTTAACGTTTAATTTTCAAAACAAACGTAAAAACGTGACCAAAATTCATTTTGAAATGTCAAATTTGATAATGAAGATGAGCAGAAAGGCTTTTTCATTTCAAAGTCAAAGCTGCATTTTTGACTCATAAATGAAACTGCTAATAAATCATCCAAACGGTGTTTTCACTTTCATCTTAACACTGTGTGACACAACAACAGAGAAAACTAAGAGGAAACTGCTTTTTTGTTTTCACGTCCCACCCCCACAAAAAGTGTTCAATAAATCAATTAGAATTTGCAAATCCATTCTACTCTGATGAACTTTCAGCATCTGCCCAACTGGAGATTTGCACCAAAATCAGCTGAAAATAGAAAACACAGAAAATGCTCCGTTCAGTCAGTTTTGCAGGTTTTCTCTGCTAACTGCTGTGGAATGAGTCAGATTTATTATAGTAGCTGAGCTTCATTCCCAACAAATATTCTGAGCCTTAATAGACTGTGAGGTTAACTCTGTCTCTGTGTTAGCAAAATATCCCATCAATCACTGAGCTGATTTCAATAAAACTCTAAAAGGTTTTCATTGAATCTACATCTTAATTCAAGCTGGTTGCCACAGTGATTCAACATTAGCCGACACAACGATGTCTCCAACTGTTAAATTAATAGAAATTGGGCTTACATTTGGTGTGGTAGTAGCTGAGAGTCATTGACAACACTTACTTTGATTAGGACGTCTCACCGTTTTACATGGTTGTGCATAACGTGACCAAAACAACAACTTTGTCATTTTAACATAAAATGATCTCAGTTTAAAAGTTTGGAATAAAACAGGACATATGCATTCTTTGAAGGAATGCTAGGACTTTAATTTGATTTTGTTATAATAATAAAAAAAATAAAAGAAAAAAAGAACAAACTATGGAAACAGAAATTACTGTAAATACCAGTAGAGAGGAGGTGAAGCTTGATTTTGTATGTAGGTCAGCAGGAGCCCTAAAGGCCGGAGCTGAATTTAAGAAACACTGACAGGCTCCGGAGCTCTTTATCAAATAAATACTGTTCTTTTCTCCTCATCTACCATCACACTCCTTACAACCCTCAGCTTCATCCCTGATGTGTCTGTCCTCGTCCTCCTCCTCTCTCACCATTTTCAGGAGATTCACATTTCGGCCCATTGTTAAAATTTATTTATGAGATGATGCACGAACACAGGACTCTTCAGTCTCAAATGAAACATAAAAAAAGGCAAACAAACTATATCCATGCAGGAAGCCAACACAAACAATATGTATCTTTTGTGTATTACATCAACTTTAAAACTATTATAATGCAGAAAATGTGTTTTTGATTGAAGCTGCTCTTTTAGTCTCTACAATGGATTTTTAGATTCTGGATAATTAGAGAGAAATCTTTCTTGATATTTCCTGAAACTATTTTGTTCTACTTCGGCATGTTTATTACTTGTGCGTGTGCAGACCTTCGTAGTAGTGGTCCTCCACTGTGATGATGCGTCCTCTGGTGGCCCTGGCATTGTCGGTGATGGTCTTGGAGTCCAGGGGTTTGATGGTGAACGGGTCAATCACGCGGATGTTGATTCTCTCTGGTAAAAGGGAAAGGAAGACAAATAAAGTTTCGACTTTATAAATCAGATTACAAAGAAAGGCATCAATATGGTGTTTATGTGCAAGCTGGTTTTGATGGTCTTCTGTCTTTCTTGCTCCATTTCTTGACCTTTTTTCAGCATCTCAGCAGCAGCCAAAGCCTCGTGGAGAGTAACCCCTGCTCCGATCACAGTCACATGATCATCGTTGGTTTTATAAACCACCTGGGAGAGAACATACGAGTCTGTGCGTGGAAACTAAAAGTGCGTCGTGAGTTGTAAAAGACAATTTGTAAGTGGCGTAAATGTCAGAAGATGTGAAGAAAACCTTAGCCTGCCCAACGTGGAAGTCTTCGTTTGAGTTGTAGACGATGTTGTTCTCTGGGCGACTTGTTCGGATGAAACACAAACCCTAAAACAAATCAGAAGTCATCACATCATCTTACAGTTTTAACCATTAAGTGTTAAAATTTTCCAATTCAAAGTTAAATATGAGTACTTTTGTCAGGGCTGCCAGTTCCACAGCCTTCTCAGTAGAAACACCGTCACTTGGGTAGAAGACAGTTGCCGTGGGAACGGCTCTGAACATGGCCAGATCCTCCAGGCCCATCTGAGAGGGTCCATCTTCACCTAATTACACATTTCAGCAACGAGAAAACAAGTCAGGCAAGATAAAATTCATCGAACGGTGAATCCGACGGCTGGCATGCGGTGTACCTGGTGAGGCGGAGGAGAAGGTGAAAGAGTAGGAGGAAGAGGAGATGAGAGAGAATCAGGCTGCTCTGTCATCAACCTCCACGACAGAGACAAAGACGGGGAGAGAGGGAGGACAGGAGGAGAGCTGACGTCAGAAGAGGAAAATAAACAGTGACACAAAGTTTGGTAAGATGGGAGGAAAGTGTCAGCCTGCAGGGATTTCAAATGATAAACACAGAACAAACTACAGGCAGCAAGCAAAGCTCCGTCTGTGGGTCGATTCCCCGTGAGGCTTAGACTGCTTTAATATAGTACTCAGTTTTTAACATTAAGAAAATAAAAAGTTAAAACACCTTCAAACAGCTCCTCGTCACGTTTAGGTTAATATCTTTCTCTCTCATCTCTTTAAAAAAAAAAAAAATTAAACCTTTATTTACCAGGAAATCCATTGAGATTATTAATCTCTTTTACAAGAATGTTCTGCCAGTAAAACAGCAACATCTCTTTAAACTACTCGTCATACGCTGATTTAATATTTATATTTTCTCTGACAAGATGCAGGAAAGTCTTGTAACTGGAGAAACTTCAGAGTGAATGCTGAGCGCTGAGTGGCTGAAATTTGTTAAGGAAACCGAAATTGAGTTGTTCGTAGTTAAAGCTATAACAGAAGCAGAGCATGAGTTAAAACCTAAACAAGCAAATGCAAAAAGTAGCAAAAGCTAGCTAAAATTTAAAATAGCAAACTGGGAGCTAGGAGCTAACAGTATCTTCTAAAGAGTAGCTTTTAAAATCTAAAAGTAACAACGGGCTAACAAAAAGCTAACAACAACAATTTGCAGGAGCAGAAAACCAGCTAAAAGGAGCAATTGAAGTTTGGCTAAAAACTTTAAAAATAGAAAAACTCTGGCTAAAAGCATCTGACTGCAAAAGTAGCAAAAGGCTAAAAGCAGCAAACGGCTAACGAAAAGCTAAAAATAACAAATTGCAGAAAAATACTAGCAGAATGCCAGCTAAAAGTAGCAAAAGTTTGGCTTAAAAGAAAAGAGAAAAACACTGGCTAAAAGCAGCTGATTTCTAGCTAAAAGTAGCAAAAGGCTAAAAGCTAAAAGTACCAAAGGTCTAACAAAAATCTAAAAACAACAAATTGCAGGAGAACTTAGCAGAATGCCAGCTAAAAGTAACAAAAGTTTGGATAAAAACTAAAACAGGAGAAAAACACTGGCTAAAAGCAGCTGATTTCTAGCTAAAAGTACCAAAAGGCTAAAAGCTAAAAGTAACAAAGGGCTAATGAAAAGCTAAACATAAATTGCAGGAGAATAGCAGCAGAATGCTAGCGCTAATGAAAAGCTAAACATAACAAATTGCAGGAGAATAGTAGCAGAATGCCAGCTAAAAGTAGCAAAAGTTTGGCTAAAAACTAAAAAAGGAAAAACAATGGACAAAAGCAGCTGATTTCTAGCTAAAAGGGGCAAAAGGCTAAAAGTAAAAAAAGGCTAACTAGTCCCCCAAAATAACAAAAGTTTAGCTAAAAGCTAAAAGTAGCAGAACAATAGCTACTGTAATGACAAAAGAAGACAGAGCATTAATGCTGAAGCAGCTTTCTAAAATAATTATATTTGCTATGGAATTTTAAAAGTATTTATATGATGAAAATATATTTTAAAATGGTTAATATGTTATTAATAGTATTTTGAAAATGACGTACGTTACAAAATACAACAATAATGGCACCCACCTCCTGAATGAGCTGAACAGTTTCATATATATGAACGGCTAAATGAACACCGAGAGTGCAAAAGTGAATGAATTTAAAATAATTAAAGCAGAGAATCAACGTGTGAACACGGAGCCTGCACTCACATTATTAGAAGCGATAAACTGACAGTGACTGACCAATGGAGACGCCGCAGTGGGAGCCACAGAGGTTGATGTTGCTCTCGGAGATGGCCGCCATGCGGAGCTGGTCGTAGGCTCGGGTGAAGAACGTGGCGAAGGTGCTGGCAAACACCACGTTACGGTCTCGAACCGCACAACCGACCGCCACGCTCACCTGCAGGAGAGACGCGAGAACAAACGCAGAAACGTGAAGCGAGCTGATGAGCTCTTGACAACCGGTCTACACGTATCCTTCTGACCATGTTCTGCTCGGCGATGTAGCACTCCACGTAGCGGTTGGGGTGCTCATTCTTAAAGAGCTCAGAGAAGGTTGAGTTCTTGGTGTCTCCATCCAGGACCACCACACGCTCGTTGTAACGGCCCAGTTTGGCCAGAGCCACCCCGTACGCCTTCCTTGTAGCAATCTGATTAAACAGACGAACTTGATCAGTATTTATTCACCTAACTGGGACCTACAGGACGAGCTATGGGTGTTAGCTGTGTCTCGCCTTGTCTCCAGGTTTGTAGTTGGGGGCGCTCGGCATGCCGACTTTGCAGAGGCTGACAGGTGCTGCGTCCTCGTTGGGTGGAGCAGGGTAGAGGCGCTTGTTGCAGCTGATGATGCGACTCTGCAGCTCCCTGATCACACTCTCTGACATGTCTTTGGGCAGAGGTTTGCCATGCCAGCCCATCTTATCCTCAGCCGCTGACACACAAACAGAGTTATTGGGAAACTAAATGCTAACGCAAAGTCCAGGCTTCTTCTGGGGCCTGTGGGGATTAACGGTGCGCATGTGGGATATTAAGAAGGTATTTATGCATCCAAAACAATCTGAATTCCTTCTAATATCCAACACAAACTTCTCTTCTTTACATTTATGCGAGTGGGCAAAAAATAAGCTCCTCCAGCTGTCAGAATCACAACAATCATCTGCTTCAGAAGATCACAACAAACCCACGTTGGAGAGGTCGGGGGCCAGAAGAAAAGGGGCTGAGCGTTTTGTTGCGCAGTCTCTACATTCGTGCTCTGCTGTTATAACCGTCTTTGTGGTCGCGCACATTCGGCCTTAGAGTTATCACAACATGGTCACATTGTGCCAGCGCTCCGAGTATACCTTACACATTCTGAGGGATTATCGAGCTGCAGAAGCAAAAACACTAGAACGCCTCCCGGAATATGACTGGATTAAGGCCTAAATTATTGGTGGCGAGTCTTTAGAATTGACTGAAAAAAATCCTCTGACCAAACTAGAACCCCGACTCAGCGTCCTCTTTTTTCACCCAGTCGTTCTTAAACGTGTTTTTGAATGTTAGATGGTTGAACAGTTCACACCGGCTTAATTCAGAAATATAATATGAGTCATCTCTGCAGTGACGTTTGAGTTTATAATCTGTAAACTGTGTGATTGTGGGATTTTTTTTTTTTTACCTGGAATGCCTTTCCCCTTTATGGTCCGGGCTATGATTGCGATTGGCTGATGGCAGGTTTGATTCAGAACCTTACAGAGCTCCTCCACACTGTGGCCGTCCACAATCATGGAATGCCAGCTGAAAGAAACAGAAAGATTCCTTCACATTTTTCTTCCATTAAGGCCAGATTTTCTTCTTCTATCTTTCAAAGTGGTCCTGAGGGTTCCCCCAATTTTTGATGCTCAAGTGGACTTTGGATGTTATTTTTTTGTAATGGTCAGATACAAAGACTGAAAAGAATAATTAAACAAAGCAGCCAAAGTCTGAAGAAAACCTTGAATAAAAGACCTGGGAGAACCATTGCTCAAGACCCGTTTCAAAGAAATCCTGAGCCCAGAAGCAAAAGATAACGAAATGACAGCTGACTCAAGACTTTTACACAGCACTGTACGCTTTAAAAACATTCTAAATGTGTTCCGCATTACCAAAATACTATGATTTATGAATCTCATTGATAAATTGGAGCAAAAATTCTAAAATAAGTAGCAAGAAATTGCATTGAGATTTGGCGCTAAGATAAGCACCTAGCATAGAAGCTAACTAGCATGCTAACAAAGTTTTAGCTACCGACACGAAATTAAGAAATGTTTATAAGCGTCTAATGCCGCTCAAGATAAGCTAGCTAATTAGCATGTTTAGATCAAAGATTAAATCTGATAGTTATCAGATTATGTCAGGTTGCCATTATCTCTCCACGACCCACCAGGACCACGCCCGGCTATAGTAGATCGTGCAGTAAAAGCAAAAAAATTAGGGTTAGAGTTGGGGACTTGGGGGTTAAAAATTAATTTTGGTCAAGAGCTTCTCACCCAAAGGCCTCACAGCGGCGCTGGTATTTCTCCACATGGTGCTGCAGCGGAGCCGGCTCGCTCTGACCCAGACGGTTAACATCCAAGATGGCCACCAGGTTGTCCAGCTGATAGTAGGAGGCGAAGGCCATGGCCTCCCACACCGAGCCCTCTGACAGCTCTCCATCACCCAGCAGGCAGAACACCCGGTAACTGCACACAGAGGCGGTTTAGCAGAGCTAACATGGCAGATAAACGGATTAATCATTTCTCACAACTTTCTATCCCCTGAAGCCGACTCTCAGACCTAAACACGCCAACCGATCCACGCCCCCGCCATCTTCAGCGGTTGCTCACGTTCTGTAATTTCTTCTGACAGCTTTCCAGTCAGATAAAAACATCACAACTGGGAAATAGGCTGAGACATGCAGAAAGGCACGCATTCCAGCCATGAGCTCAAAGAAAGGATAAAAACACACACGTGGCACAGGCAGACGAGAAAAGCGGCGAAAGTTATGAAAGGAATTCCACAAAGAAGGAAATTAAAGAAAAGGAGGACCGGAGATAAAACTTATTAAAAAAAACTAAAAGTGCAGCTTGTGAAATGTGTTTTCCTTTAATATAAGACCTGAAAACAGGCAATGAAATGTAAAAACACTGGCAGGTTTTAGTAACGTTAACAGAGACATTCAGAAAATAGATTTTTTTTTTTTAAGAATTTACAAAGTTAGATAAAGACCTGTAAAATAGATTTAGTTTACAAGTATGTAAAAATACATTTTGATTTGTGTGGAAAATACATTTGCACTTTAAATGTATAAAACCCCAGCTATTTCCTAAGTTTTTTCTAAATCATATGAAAAAAAAAGTAAAAAATAATCAAGATTTTGTCATAAATCTGTTCTTGATGCAACAAAAGCAGGTTTATTTGTAGAGCCTCTCCGTACACATCTTCCAAATCATAAATTATGGCTCTGATCAACTGGTCTCTCAACGCAATTGATAAAATTTTCTCAACAAGAAAACAGTTCAGGAGAACCCTCATGCCTTGAAGGGACACACGACGTGTACAAAATTGGATTACAACAACAGGATTATCTGCTTTTGGAATCGGCGGGTACCTGGGATATCGACAAATTGGGACGACGTCGGCAGCAGTTTTTGGCAATGGTGAGGCTGCCTGCCCATGTGAAGGATTGTACCGTGCATCAAGTGCTCAGACTCAGATGCTTTGCGAATCTGGAACGCGCTGGCATGAAGGAATCGACATGGAGAAGGCTGCGAGCATGGACCGGAGGAATGACCACAAATCTGGCTGTTTGGATTCACCACTGAGCGCAGCAGCAGAATTATGAAGCAGACATGAAATCAGTAGAATCGACCTGTCCCAAAACTATTGTTGTTTATCTGAATATGGCTTCCCCGTTTGGCCGTGGATAGACCAACTTATCTCAAATTGCTCCTGGAGGATATGTAAATCATGAAGCTCTGCTCCTGCTTCCCCCCGAGAACATCTGTGGACCCTTATCAGAGCTGAACCGGCTGATAGACACTGTGCCATCTTATCAGGACTATGGAACTTTTTGGCAGTGCTCACGGACAATCTCACCGCCTTTGTCGGCCTCCCCCCTGCAAAATGTCTAATCTTTGTTGATTTTTTTTGTGCTGAGGTAGATTTTTTTGCAACTTCACACTGTGTCCTGTGTGTCAAGGACACAGTGTGAGATCCCAATGTCAGACAATGATTGTCTGAAAAAGTAACTCGTACACGCTCGTGCTCTTTAATCTGAGAAGCTCCCTGCACGTCTTTTCTCCAAACATCCAAAATTCTGTGGACATTCTGCCAGCGCAAGAAACAAATTTAGTCACTATCGGTACTTTTAAATAAATAATCTTGTGTTTGCTGTGAAGAAAAAAAAGGAACTGGTTTTGTTCGATCCATCCAGTAATGTCAGGTTTCAGGTTTTGCAGCTGCAGAGCAACGAAGCAGAAGCCGTTACCTTCGGTCTCATCGTTGCTGCTGAACGAATTCAACAAGTTCAGCCACGTGTCGCATTTTAATAAAGAAGCACCTCATCCCTGTTGGGTTTCTCCAGTTGTTCGTTTGTGGTTTGGACATAATCCTGTAGAATTTTCTGCTTCGTCTAAAATTTAGTTGATCCTGTGGTTTAACCTCAGCGTGCGTCTCTTAGTTGAGTTAATGCAGCAGCTGATTTTACAGCTTCAGCCTCAGATTAGCTGATAAAACCAGTGATACGGTTCCTCATGATTGCAGTGAATCAACTTGACGTTCAGAAAACACGTCTACAAACGACACATTTAATATTAACTACAAGCTCAATGTGAGGTGCGTAGATGAATGTGCTGAAGCTCAACACCAAATTTTCTCCCTTTTTGGATAAAAGATGAGGCAAGTGGGTGAGGCTGAGAGACGATGGAGCAAATTTGCTTTTGGATGTGTGATTATTGGAGCAGAAACAATCGAGCGCAGCCACGTTGCAGAGAGGAGCTCGGCCTGCACAGCATTTCTTCACCGCCTGCTTCACTCTGCTGCGAGCAACAAACTGAATCATTCTGAGACGGTCTCTTCTGGTGACGTCCTCAAAAAAAATCAAATTTTGTTTATAAAGATTAAACTTCAGCGCGCGCATTTTTGTGCCTTTCTGTGTGCATGGATTGTATTTTGTCTTTCAGGCCACAAAGCTGCATCTGACTTTTGTCAGTGAAATACGTCGTATTCTTTCTTTCTCACAAGAGAACAAAGGAGACCCGAGCGGAACAATTCAAAGCAGCTCCATACAGCTGAACAAAAGTCCAAATAAAAGCACAGCAGACTCACTAGAATATCACAACTATCCACAAAGTGCATACAGTTATTATACTCTATCTGTTTACATCTAAATTAAATTATGAGTGAATAATTTCATCCCTCCATAGATGTTTTTATTGACCACCCTCTTTTTGATTGAATGCTTTGCTCTCATCTGTGATCTAAAGGTAAAGCTCTCAGTGTCCCCACAGAGCAGACGTGACTGTCAGGAGGAATCTGATCCAAAGCTCCTGCTGCAATGTCACGTCTGCACAGCTCATCGCAGTGAACTTCATGTCATGCATAATTTCATACATTCTGCCTGAGTGCAGAGGCGTGCACGGCTGCTGTGCTTCTGCACAACTTTGAATGTCTCTGCATGTTTTGTGTCTATTGCACTTATTTTTAAATTTATGCTCACAACATGCAAGTTTTCCAATGTCCCATTTTCACTCTGCAACAGGGGAGTGTCGTTTTTGTGAACGTTACCTGGCCTTGTCGAAGTATTTTCCAGTGTAGGCCATCCCGCAGGCGGCCCCCAGCCCCTGACCCAGAGATCCAGTGGCCACATCCACAAACTGCTGCTTCTGTCAACAGGCATGCAAAACATGCATTTCATCCCTTAGACTGTGAGAAGTTTAACACAGGACTCAGTGCACAGATAGTTAAAAATGAATGAAACAGAGGATGAGTTTGTCAACGTCAGGGCGGTAATGTTTGCTGCAGAGGACATCGCTCAGCAAAACCTTTGTTACTGTGTCCGTACCTGCAAACAGCTCGTCTGTATGTGTGAAAATATTTAACAAGGTACAGCTTCTTACGGAGTGGTGCGCACAAGAATGATTTATGAACATTTTGCTACAAAATGTCAAAATATTAAAGGAAAAGTTCAAAGATGAATAGAGGATTTTAAACATATGAACTTTGTAGAATTCCTCACTGTTCAACGTGTTTCATGTTCGTAGAAAATACACAAATTTGTCTAGAAAGACAAAAAAAGACAGCCCTGCACATATACTGTAAGTTTAAAGTTTTTTTTTTTTAATGTGTGAAAAAGTTGGTGATGATGCAGATTTGTGAAATGTGTTGCACTGAAATCCAAACAAATGTAAAGAGATACTTTAATGCATGCGCATATGTTTATTTGAATACATTAGTCTTTTCCGCAGCAGGTCTGAACGTCCCCTCACCGGCACTGGGTGTCCTTCCAGGATGGAGTCGACCTTTCGGAGATTAAGCAGCTCGCTCTCCTTCAGGTAGCCGAGCTCTGCCCAGACAGCATACAGGACAGGTGCTGCGTGACCCTGAGGAGACACAGGTCAAAGGTCAGAGTTAAAAAAAACATCTCCTGTGGTTGCTGGTGTGTGTTACCTTAGAGAGGATGAACCGGTCATTGTTGGGGTTCCGTGGGTCTTCAGGGTGATACTTCATGCAGTGGAAGAAGAGCACAGACATGATCTCTGCTGCGCTGCAACATGATGTTGGATGACTGCAAGAAAAATGGCACGGCTGAAAATATCAGACACAGGGTGACGTTAAAAACATCATGTTCTGCACGTTATACAGACGACAGTTTAGTTTAACTGATGGAGTCATAGTTGATTATTATTTAAAGCGAGTGTCTCTTTTTGCCTCTCACACTATGGAGACACCTCAAACTGTTACAGTCGTGATAATTTGACACAGAATGGGGGGTTGCAGTTATCTTGTCTCCATTTTCAAGACAAACTATAAAAAACTCTGTCCTCCATGAGGGCAGCCATCAAAAAAAGAAGAGGAGAAGAAACTGTTCAGTGATGAAGTAAAAGATGGAGACTGTGGCATGAATATCAGACTTTTGAAAATTCAAACTGGAATTCTTATATTTATTTTTGATCATTAAGCAACAGATGGTTTGTTTTTCTTTTATTATTGCTACTTTTAATGGATTTATCATCTCTCATCTTTTCAGTCTTTTGCGACTTGTTCCAAAGCGGCAGGCAGCTCAGATTCTAATTTGAACTCACAAACCGGACGCGCTCTTCAGATTTATTTCCACAAACTTGACGCTGACTGTAGCGGAGCGCGCAGGCGCAGTGAGCCGTGCGTTCACGCGCTCATAGCCGCGACACAAACTACAGCAAGCATGCTTTGTGTTACATAACTTCAAAATGAACACAATGGGAGAGCCAAACACTGACACACCTGCAGCACATCACGACCCCAATCCAAATCCACTTGACGCAATAAACAAAGTGTTGCACAAGCACAAACCATTTCAGTCAACTGAATCTATTTGTTTGAACAAACTGGCTTTGAAATCAGAAATTAGAAGAAATGTTTCAAATTAGACCTCTTTTGCACAAGTGCGTAAATTACGCATGGATCAACGTTTACGCACTTAGTATAAAAAATACGCACAACATGCACGACTAATTTGATAATTAAATGAGTTTAACCAGACAATATTTACCATCATAGCACTGATTCTTTTCTATTTGGTCAGTTGGACATCGCGTGGGGACATTGGTCATGCACATTCTTTACGCATTCCACCTTAACTACCTTATAAAGTCTTTTAGGAAACAAGAGGTGCGTGATAACATCGGTGTTCTGCAGAGAATCGTTTATCTCTTCCCCCCACCCGAGCCCCTCTCATCTCACCCGCTGCCCGCTGCAGTTGTGGCCCTGATGGAGTTGATCCGGAGTCGTGTGGCGACGTTCCTGAGCGCCTGCACCGTCTGCTGGTCCGGTTTGTGGTAGTCCTCCATCTGGCAACAAGCGCACGATCCGTTTAAAACTGAGGAAAGAGTTAAAAGCTCCCGCTCTGCTGCTCAGAGAGTAAAGAAGAGGACGAGTCTGAAGAGGATGATGATGACAGGGAGGGGAGGGAGGAAGGTGGAGATTCGTTAAATCTCTAGTGCGCATCTTTACCCAACACAACGGCGGGAGTTGTTTTAAAGAAACTCGACTTCAAATCAAACTTATTGTCACATCGAGTCAGATTTCTGTTGGGGACTCCGGATGCCCCAAGTTTCCTCCTCCTCCTCTTCATGACTGGTTTCCTTCGGGGGAATAAATGTACATTTTACCATTTAAATATATTTTTATATCCATTTCCCAGAAGCTTCTTTGATGCAATATTTTGTAGATTGATCTAAATGAACTAAAATAAAAACAAACCTTGACAACAGCACGTGATAATGAAAGTCGACGGTTCAGCTTGTTTGGAACCAAGTTCATGGTCCATATAGGCCTCTTAAACATTTACACCCAGTCTTCCTCCATCTTTCACAGTTTTGGAGAGCTAACAGAATTTCAACAAATTCAGTTTTTTCTTTCTTGCTCTTCTGTAGATTAAAAGTCAAAATGAAAGTCTCCAAACAGCTGAACACTTTGGGGTTTCAGTGGCAGACAAAATGTAAATAACAAGATAAATAAGTGTGCAGTTCCTGTATGCACACATCAATAAAAACTACATGTTTTTGCCTGACATGCAAGGAAAGTAAAAAACACACTAATGTAAAAAAAGACATCACAGAGGGGAAACACTGGCTAGAAATACTTTAAATGATTTTTATTACAATGACAATAAATGAGAAATGAGAATAAATGAGAGTAACCTCTACTTCAGCTACAATTTTAAACGTCAAATAAAAATGAGTTTCTTAAAGAATTTAAGCTCTTTAGTTGAAAATAAATCCACATTTTTTCCTTATCACAAATGAAACGTACATATTTATTCTGTCAAAACATGAGGTTTTTGGTCCAGACTGGCACCTGTACATTTCCACATGAGGCAGCAGCTTCACATTTATTCATGTCTACATATAGTTCTGCCTTTTTATGGGCCATAATGCATCTGTAATGGGTTTAAATTGGACTTTACTCCATGTTTTTCATGATTTTACTCACCTGTATTCACTCTTCTTGGCTCGATTCTGTGTGAGCTACAGGCTGCAGGTAAAGAATGAATGAATGAATCACTTTTTTTTTCTTTCGGCTTTTCCCTCTTCACTCACCACAGCGAGTCATCCTCCATCTTTCTGTCCTCTGCATCCTCTGTCCTCACTCCAAATACCTCATGTTCTCTCTAACGGCATCATATATCTCCTCTTTGTTTATAGCAGCTGCATTTCTAACATCCTTCTACCAATATACATAAAAAGTTGAATTGAATGAAATCAATTGCACTACTCTGACTAAAAAATTGACTTTCACCCACAAACCTGAGATAAATAATCAAACTGTGATCTGTCAGTCTAAATAAAACCCTTGATACCTTTTACCAGGTCCCTTAACTCTTGTCATATGTTTCATGCTAAAAAAAAATGCTCTGACCATTAAAACCAATAACAAGAACATTAACGAGTCACACAGGAGACCCATCGTGACAAAATTTACACTCACAAAAACCAAACAAGAAAAATCGCTGGTAAACATTATCCTAAAACTGTTTTTACACTTTTAAGATGTCCATCTCTTCAAAGTACTTCATCTTGTAATGTATTTAAAAACTGAACGTTTATTAAAAATAGGTTTCAAAATCAACAGACTATTTTGAAGTTTTACAATCTTTTTTTGTTGAATTTGATTTTTTTCCAGCTTAATAGTTTATTCGGTGGACACAAAGGTTCGTTAAAAAACAGGAAATTATTGCAAAACACTAGGCGAACAAAAACATTCAATGCATTTATTGTATATTTATTGGGTAGTGTTTAAACATTAATTGATTTTAATGTGTTTGTATGAGCCAGGCACAGATGACAAAGGTCACTAACAGACAGAAGGTCATCAGGCTAAAACAAAAATTGCGTCCTGTCTCTGGATCTTATACTGAGCACATTTTATTTTGAAGTCTGAAACCTGTTGAGAGGCATCTTGAGAATAAAAAGAAGTCAAATGACTGCGACAACCAGGAGTCTATTTGATTTGCCTCTAAAAGTGGAGCAAAATAGAATAAATGCACTCCAGCTGTTGGTGGAAGGGTGCACTCCAGATGTGAAGGAGAGTTTACTGACCGCAGGGAGGCAGGGCGTGTTGAATGTGCTGAGGCTGCAGGGAGATGAGATTAGTCCAACTCAGTGAGAGCAGAGGCAGGACGCGGACGGTGCTGCAGCCTTCAGCTGTCAGAGCAACCACTGAGCTCACCAGAGCCCATCTGAACATTTATTAGTAACTGTGAAAACTTAAAGGAGTGATATCGTCCACCATCTTCCACGTCAGAATGTTGAGAAATAAATGAATGAATATATCCATTTTGGTCAAACCTTGAAAATAAAGTGACATACAAAGTAGATCTCTCTGAGTAAATGTTGTGAATGACTCTCAGGTCAAATTAGAGCTCAGTATAAAACTGACTGAGTTGTGGCCATTTTTGAGTTGGCTAATGTCGATTAGCTGTGGCGGCCATCTTGAAGTGAATTGCCTCTGAAGTAATCAGCAGATCTAATAACTATTATTCAAATTTCTGGTGGCTCATTACATATTTTGCTAACAGAATTGGCTGATCTTTGGCAATCTGATAGTACTCAGAAAAAGTGTTGGGAATGAGTCTCAGCTACTACCACCCTACATTTTAGCTCAATACCTGTCAAACTGACTGAACTATTTTTGAGGTCAGTCAGCAGTGACAGCCATCTTGGTGGAGCCCAAAACATTACCAGTTGGAGACGTATATCCAGTGGTTGCTTTCAGCAAGTTTCTTTAAAATGTGTCTGTTGCTTAATGAGAAATATTGATAACAGGCAAACACGAACAAACACATGGTCACCATAATAAACATAAAGAATGTGCTGGAAAAGCTGAGGTAAAAACGAGGATAAATGCCAGCTGATAAGTTCTGTTTGTGTCCATTATGATTTCTAGAATTGATTGATTATGATTATTATGGTTCCTAGAACTGCGCCACTCGGGGTGGCTGCATGTTGGAGTAGCTCTGTTACATTCATTTTGAGTTATTGCTTTTAAAAACATTAATTCCTATTTTTTCTGGATGTACATCTTTTTTTTTTTGGAAGATTACTTCCTCTGGAATTGGATGCTGTGCAGCTGGATGGATTTTTACTGAAACTTTTTTACTTTTTGGCATTTGTTATGATGCGTAACCATGGCAACAAGGTGTTGTTTTTTTTTTTTTTAAAAACCTGGAGCTGCTGATTAACATCTCAAAAGCTCAAATATCTCAACTACAGCCCCAAATCCCAAATGAGTTGAAAAGGAGGCACCATGTACGAATCCCTGTCAACCTGGCGGTGGTGCTCGAGTACCTGACCGCAGAAATCCTGGAGCTGGTGGGAAACTCAGCTTGTGACAACGGAAGGACCGGAATCATCCCCAGGCACCTTCAGCTGTCTGTCCGTGGTGACAAGGAGCTTGACGGATTGATGGGAGGAGTGACCAACTCTCAGGGAAGAATTCTGCCCGGCATTCGGGCAGTTCTGCTGCCCAAGAGGATCGAGAGGCCCGCCGGATCTGACAGCAAGCTGGAACTGGTTGGACAGATCAGTATCTGTGGCCAGATTCTTCAGCTTCACTGAAGGAGATCCTTCCTGCCCACAACTATACACATCTACAACTCTTGAAACCAGGATGATGAACTACGACAACACTTAATTTTCCTTTGGGATTAATCAAGTATTTTGAATTGAATTATATTATGTTAAGGATTAATCTCTGCATTTTATGGCCTCCATTGTTTATTAGTATAAACTGGGTAAGACAATGAACTTTAAGGCTGCAGTAAAAACACACAACCACCTATAACTTTCATTTCATTTACTTAAAAAGGGGATTTGAACGTTAAAGAAGGATACGGTTGAGTTCAAGCACCTGCGCCCTGAAGCTGCAACAAGAAGAATAACTGACAATAATCTAATGATGTCTTCCTGCTGACATGATTAGCTGAAACAAGACACAAATTATGACAAATACTTTCCATGGCAGCTGACAAAGCAGGCGCACATCAGTTTTACTTTCAGTTGAGAATCAGTTTGAGTTGGTTGGATCAGGTTAATTTTAGCAGCGTAACCCCTCTTCATGTTTGGTTTCACTGTTTGCAATTAGGAGATTCTGGAAAAGTAAACTGCACCCGCGGAGGTTTTACATTTTGAGGGATTTTGACATTATGATAAACTGGCCTCTGTCTGAGGGGCCTGTTAGGTTTGAACTGCACCGGGAAGTTGAGTTTGGAAAAAAAATTCTTCCAAGTTCCTCAGATGCTCCAGCAACATATGGGATGGCAATCTAACAATGTTGAGTCAGGTTCTTTGTTGAAACATCTTTTATCCAAAAGACTTTTTCAGTCTTTGGATAAAAGACGAAAACATTTCAACAAAGAAGAACCCATCCAGAGGACCTGACTCAATCTTGTTAGATTTATCTACCTGGACACACATCAGGACATGGGATGACAATGTTTCTGTTTATTCTTCTTCCTGTTCTGTGGCATATTTCTTCACTATTTATTTATTTATTTTTTTCTCTTTGTGCTCCGATGAAGATAGACGCCTCTTTTTTTCTTCTTCCTGCATATCTTCCTAATTCGAAGGATTTGATCAGCTGGTCTCTCAAAAAAATTGATCTTCTCCCGACAGGACTCAGGGTAAGGAGGACCCTCTAACCTCGACGTAAACAAATTGGATTCATGATGACAACTAGATTCTGCTGTTTGGGTTGGTGAAATCAGGATTGTCTACAAATTTGTATGGATGTGTCGAAGCTTGGCAGCACTCAGACTGAATTATGTGGAGCTGCGTCAGGGAGCTGGAGCAGGCTGTTATCAGGACTGTGAACTTTCTGGCAGCACCCATGAATGGTTGGGAATAATCTTGGAGAAGCTGTGAGCTCAACTTTCGGCGTAAGGAATCAATTCGGCTGTTTGGAGTCACCATCAGAGAAATGTACCAGCGAGCCTTTAAAAGGCAGAAACGGAAATTTACGAGTTCTGCCTGACCCAAACTGTGGCCTTGACAGCGGACTTATCTCAACTCCTCCTGGCATGTTTAGGAAAAACAAAGATGCTTTGTCTATCTCCTCACTGCTCCCTTCCTCAAGGCCGTGGACATGTGACAGAACCTCAACCGAGCTGATGATGAATAACACCTCTTATCTGGACAATGGCTGAGAGGGGGGGGGGGGTCTCTGGACTATGCTACGACCTTCCCTTAAAATTCAATGTCTTCACCAGCCTATATGTACATGTATCATGTCTATTTATGTTGCTATGCTGTAGTAATTGTTTTGATGCCTCAAATCGTGCCCTGCCGAGGGCAAGGTGTGACCGTCGTGCACTACGTCCATCTTTCGGATGACTCTATTTACATGTTCTTGTATCTCAGTGCAATGATAATAAAGCTTATTCAGTTTGACAAAAGCACAGCTAGCATAACTCCAGGTTTGGAGAGCTAAGTGTTTTTGCTCCTTTTCCTTCCTTTCTGTCCTCGTGGGGACGTTCGGCCCAGATGGCATAGTTGATTTGTGACGTTGGTGATGAGTCATTCATTCATTCAACCTTTATTTAGACAGGTTAATCCCATTGAGCCTCGAGGACTCATTTACAAGAGAGACCTGAAACAAACAGAAGGTACTGATCTGCGTGAGTTGATTTCCTGTAAACTTCAATCTTCTTCCACGTTCACCAAACAGGGCTCTCTTCCACGCAGCTTTTTGTCTTGTTGCTTTGAAACAGAGCTCAGTCTTGTCATTTCTGCCAGACGACCAAAGTTTCAGCACACATCTCATTTAGTCTCACACTACCAGAACAACAAATAACTTAAACTTTAACTCAACCACTTTTTAGTTGTCCTTGCCAATTAGTGTAACACAGTACGAGTTATTGGATTTTTTTCTTCCCATTTAGCTCCTCAGCCAAGGTTGTATGAAAGCTGGGCGTTATTACTGATACCCAGGATTCATTCTCCCACCAACAAGTGCACCTTACAAAACAACTGATCTGACTCTGTATACTACCCAATTGTTGGTACCATCATTGTTCATCTTCTCAACCACTGGATTACTCCTAAAATCCACAATAAAACACAAACATTAACAAAATATCCATGATAGCGATGAGAATTCTCTTTTTGGTAATCCAGGATTTTTGAGTTAGCAAAAAGATCACACATTTTTGGCTCCCCAACTTTGTAATACAGCCAGAATGAACAAAGTTGTGGCATGATTACCATGTGCATGAATACACACGTGTTCACTTGTAAATGCTTAAAAAACAGTCTCTTAAAAAAGCGAACAGAACTCGGTCATCTGCTCGTTAAATAGAGAGCTGCACTGAAACTTGAATGTTGTTTCTTTTGTTTAACCTGCAATAGATAAAAGCAAATAAGAGTGAAATATACTGCACAGAGTGACACACACAAAGTGCAACTGTGACACTTTACTGAAAGCAGATAGTGACATCTGGTGGGGAAACCATCACAGAACATCCATCCATCATCTTTTACCCACTTCTTCCATTTTGGGTCACCGGTGCCCATGTCCAGCAATCACTGTGTGAGGGGCGGGGTACACCCTGGACGGGTCTCCAGTCCATCACAGTGACACATAGAGACGAACAGCCATTCACTCTCTCACTCACACCTAGGGACAATTTAAAGTTACCAATCAGCCTAACATGCATGTTTTTGGTCTGTGGGAGGAACCGGAGTACCCGGAGAAAACCCACGCATGCACGGAGAGAACATGCAAACTACACCCAGGAAGGCCCCCGAACTGGGATTTGAACCAGCAACCTTCTCGCTGAGAGGCAGCAACTCTGCCAGATGCGCCACCGTGCTGCCCCAATCCATCACAGAACATTAAAAAAATCATAAGAAATAAGGTTATAAATGCTCTTCAGTCATCATTTTTCAAAGGCTGAAGGCAAAATACAACCAAGAGCTGATTTTCAGCCAAAAAAACAACTAAAAAAACAAGATTTTAAGCTTGAAAATTCATTTTCACAACTGAAACAAATTAAATGGGAGTGGTGGCGCAGAGGTTAGAGAGGTGGGCCTGTGATCTGAAGATCGCCGGTTCACGCCTGGCCCCGACAACATCAAAATTGTGGGTGGGGTAGGTGAAACACCCACACTTGCCCCCACCTTCATTCGCCTCACTCTGGGCCAATGAGCAAGGCCCTTAACACCCACCATGTGCTCCCTAAACAGGTCTCTCTTGAAAATGAGTTCTTGTGGCTCAATGAGACTACCTGTATAAATAAAGGCTAAATAAATAAAAAATAAAATAATTTTGCCGTTTACACCTTTATTATGACAACATAATATCAACTGGCCAAACTATGCACCATGATGAAGTCAAAAATATACTGATCATTTTAATGGCTTACCCAAAATCATCAGTCTGGCCAACAAGATAAATAAAACAACCTTAAAATATTAAATATGTGAATGGGGATAAATTTATTCTCCTTTGAAATTGATCATTTCTCCCTGGACACACGCCAAAAGTGCTGACTCATCAGTACAGCACTGAAGTCAATCATCTGATTTGCTCTTCATTCTCATGTCATTCATATGTTTGACATTCTGCGACTACAGAAGAAAAAACAACTTACTGTAAAAAACAAGTATATGAAATGATTCTTTCTAAATCACTGAAAGCTTTTTGTGCGTCAGTGTTGCACGTGATCTAAAAACTGATGCGCCATTTCCTGCTTTCACCGCAGTTTATGTGCTGCAGTAATCTTCTACTGCTAAACTAAATAAAAAAAATACTGACATCGGACCCATTTGTGACGTGAAATAAAAAGGAAATGTGAACGAAAGTTGTTTAAATTTTTGACCATGAGTTTGGTGACTGAATAAAAACCATACTGAAGAGCTCTAATTTGAATTAAAGCAATATTAAAAACGACTTAATGTAAACAGGAAGTTTATCATTTACATGATACTTAAATGTACAGATCTGTAGAAGTTTACACAAACTGTACCATCTTCAACTATCCCAACCAGACCTGAAGGTTTTCATCTATTGCACGAGCCCCTCCAAGAACATCAAGCACTGTGAGCTCAGCTGGTGGAGGAGACACAACGCACAAAAAAAACATGAAAATAAAAACAAAAGGATGAAGGAAAATGTAGAGAAATGATACAAACGTGTCAGTTTTGTGCACTCAGGAGGTATAAATATATCCCAGTCTGGAATATTAATACAAGAAGTTCAGCTCTTAATTCTATATTTTTAGATGCAAGAGCCTATCTAAACAAAAAATACTGTTTACAAAAGCAAAAATAAAAACATGTAGTTCATTTTAGACATGAAAACCTGTTGGAGCTCCACATTTAGAGGCCTGTCCTAAACATAGTTTTAGTCTCAGTGTTTCCATGAGGACCCCATGAAGATGTGCGCTGAGTAAATCTAAGATTTATTTAATGTCCCAGCAGATAAACCACCTGTCCAACAGTTAGAGTTCACCTCCACTGTGGTGCCGTCCTCCTCCACCAATGGGGCCAGAAGTCCAACCACATTCAAGTTTTAAAACGATCGTTTTAAAATGTCAACGATCCACAGTGACATTTGACCTGATCTTTGTTCCCACGGCAGCTCTCCTCTGACAGGACATAATCAGGAGTCGATGCAGTCCATCCCATAATGATCCTGAGGGTGTGCAGTCCAGTGCGTCACCAACCTGTTGCCTCCATTTGTTTCAAAACCAGAAACGTTCTGACGTGGTTGGAGTCAAACTACATCTTGATGTTGCTGAAGTCCTTGGACAGACTCTGCAGGTACGCATCATGAATGGCACCGAGGAAGTCTGGGTCAGTCTAGACCAGGAAGACAAACATGACGAGGATGAGCAAACTATTTATTTGTGCTTACACACTTTTACAGACACTTCGATTAAAACTCATGTTTGAAAACACAAACGTTTTAATAACTAATTAATTTCATAAAGCAGCAACGGTTTGTTTGTCCTGTGGTACAAATAATCCAATCCTGAGAGAAGCATCTCACCGGGCGACTCAAAATCTAAGAAGACAGGTGATTTTTTTAAATTAATCTAATGAAGTACACTTTTTTAAACACAAAGACAAACATGGACAGTTCTTTTTTTAATGATTCCCCCCCCCCCCCCCCAACAAACAGATTTTAGACTTTGACACTGTAGTGAACCTGATCTGACCCTGATCTGACCCTGATCTGACCCTGATGACCTCAAATCTATCAGATGGACAGAGACTGCTATTTTCATTGATCTGAATGCAGTCTGAGCCATCTGGTGACTTTCTTTCTTGAATTAATCAAGCAGAAAAGACAATTCTCTATGATCATCACTGTTTACAAATGTTTGATAATCAAATTGTGTTAGTTCACTCAATGCTTACAGGTTGGAAAGAACTACTCATTCTTATTTTACATAAGCAGTAAGTAATGATTTTTATTCCTCATTCAAAGAAGAAATCAGGTTAATATGCATTTCTTGATTCTCTGTCTGAAATGAGCCAAGTAATGTAAGTATGTTAAAGGTCGGTTTTCGGTCAACTAAAATGTTTACTGAGAAGAAATGTCATGTTTTACTATTTGAGAAGATATAACAGCGTGAGACTCCACGAAGTCTGGTCGTCTGCAATAATCTTTTCTGTATGTTGAAAACAATCCTTGACTTATGATAACATCTTACATCACAAACCACACCTCTATTTCTGGTCCATCGACCAATCAAAAGCTCTCAAATGAACCGGAAGTCGACCCATTTAAAATGTGGCAACTTCCCAGTTCATGTTAGAATTCAGGAGAATTCCGGAGAGTCTGGAGTCTGATAGTTCCAGAGGCTGAGGAGATGAAGAACTAGAGAGTTGCTGGAGTTGAAAGATTCTGTTAGAGTCTGAGAAGTTCTGAAGAATGAAAGGAGTTCATGGTTCTTGGGTGCAAACGCATTCAGGATGATCCAGAGACGTTTTGGGATTATAATTTCTGTTTGAAAACCACGTACGACTCCCCGAGGGTTTGGTAGTTCTCACGGAGACGCTGAAAAGAGTCAGAAAGGAACCTACACCGACGCTGAGTTCATCATCAAGGTAGATGGTTCTATTTTCGACCAAGTGTACCGTGGGCAAGCTGATATCTGATGGAGCGTGCAATTTCTGGTCAAACAGATTAATTCCCTCACATATTTCTCTGTAAGATAAATCTCCATTTCATCTTAAAACTCTCCTCTTTCTCATAAAATCAGTACAGATATTTTAGAAATATCTGAAGCAAAGTCCTCGTTCACCGCAGAGTGATCGATGTCCCTTTTCTGTGAAACTTGTCTGTTATTATTTTCATATTTTGCCAAATTAATGTAAATGTTTGATGTTAAACTTTGATTCTGAAAATAAATGACCGCATTCATTTTGATGGGTCAAAGATAAATAACGTCTCTCGTTACATTTCTGTTAAATTCAATGCACGACATTACACAGTCAGAAAGATGAGGAACTCGTGAATATATTGTATGCATATATACCTCAAGTATATGTATTACTACAACATTCAAGAATGTACTTTTGAATGTTTTCTGTCAAAGGAGAGCTCCCATGCAGGCACGAAAAAACAACTTTAGTGCTCGAGTTTATGAAAACTAACTAAAGAAGAGTCTAAGACAGGTTTCAGACACCTGTGACATCTCTGACTATTTTGAGAGAAACTTTGTCGCACAAAAAAAAAAAAAAGTTCAAAGTTCAAGCAGAAATATTGCGAGCCTCAGACACTCGTGCGAGGAAACTGAAAACATTCACAAATGTTCTGAGACACTTTGGAAAATATACAAGATGAAAAAAGAGACTTGTGACGCCAACACAAGCTTAAATTAGTTTCTCCTAAATCAGATCAATGCATTTTTTATTTGATCTCACTGAAAATTGTTAGATTTTATATCTGGATTATTGAGCATGGACTTTGTGCAGAAAAAATAAACAATTTTAGCACAATCTGAGACACAGCATTTAGTCCAAAACTAAACTCTGCAGCCACAGTGAGGATAAATCACACAAAAGCTTTTCCTTTAACTTCTCGCAGATGTTTGCTTTATGCTCGTAGTACCTTGATGAGATGTATCAAAGTCTCCTGCAGCTGTGTTTTACTGCATGCGCCTGGCAGAGACTCCACAGCTCGTCCAGAGGCAGACGATGGCTCGGAGGGAGCAGAAGGGACCACCGGTGCTGCAGCTGTTTTAACGGTCTGCTGGAAGGCGCTGGGGGAAAGAAGTACTGAAATCTCTGACCCTGGAACAGCAAGACCTGGACTCATGGGGACGGCCTGAGAAGACAAAGAAAACAGACAGCCAACAAGTTGAATTATAAACTAATAATAATAATGTATCAATGAGACTGATAAAGCTGCCATCAGCCAAGTGAGCTCAACTCACTGGGATTGGTTTAATCATGGTGGGAAGCTGAGAGAAAACATCCTTCTTGGGCTCTTGGAAACTGTGAGGTGGGACCAGTGTGCTTGGCAGGAAGCTGGGTGCGAGCATGTGTTTGTGGACGACTGAATTCACAGATGACACTGCTGGTTTGAGTGTGCCGATCATCTCCTGTCCCAAAAAGGTTGAAGGAGCAGCTGGAGATGCTGTGGACCCAGCAGGGGCAGCAAGAACCTCTGCATCAGCTAAAGGCATCATATAAGGAGAGACCGAGCACTGAGGCTGGGGTTCTGATCTGGGGACAACTGACTGGAAAACAGGACTGGGATTTAGCACAAAGGAAGTTGGGATTAGGCCGGAGCCTTGTCGCTGCTGGTTGGAGATGGGATCTTGGGCTGAGAACTGGGAAGTGATAAATGGGCTTTGCTGGGCAGCAGAAGGAAAGGTTTGTTTCTGGATGTAGGCTGAGGGAAGGTCACTGGAAGCATCAGGGATCTGTGCAGGCTTGGTCATCAAAGGAGGTTCTTTAGGAAGAGATGAGCCAAAGAGCTCCTCAACCGTGATCTGCTTCACCACCGTATGAGTACTCTGTTCATTAACAAGAGACATGCGACAAGCTCGATCATTCATTTACTGCAAACATCAGTCAATGTTTTAAAGCTCTGTCTGCTGGTGCAGGAAATCACATCTAAAACCAGTTTTAAAATGTTATTTCAATTTTACATATAAACCACACAAAAATACAAAAATCATCCTAAAAAAGATCTTTAAGAATCAACATTATTTATTATTAGACATTCTCAGATGGGAACTTAAAATGGTCACAGGTGTAATCAAACACCATCTCAGACACTGGAAACAGTGTCAGAAAACAAAGTGTTGGGCTAAAAACATCTCCTCATTTAAGTATCTATTAAAATTATGGTCTGGAATAACTTTGAAATCTGTCCATGCATCCATGTGTAAGTGAAGAAAAGGACAAGACCTTTCAAACAAACAAGTAAAATATATTTTATAAATACCTTTTCAGGTGGTTGTGCGTTCTGTTCTGTAGCGTCACTGATCATCGTTTTCATGTTTGATTCTGTCGGCACCTTCAGTTCTCTTGACATGCCCTTTAAAAACACAAATATTGATACACACATTTGATATTACATCAAATAATATTAATCTTCTTTCAGCTTTTCCCTCTTCAGGGGTCGCCACAGCGAGTCGTCCTCCTCCATTTCACTCTGTCCTCACTCCAACTACCGGTACCTCCATGTTTCTCTCTAACTGCATCCATATACTTTGTCTTTTTCCTGGCAGCTGCACCATCCTTCTACCAGTATACCCACTGTCCCTCCTCTGGACATGTCCAAACCATCTCAGTCTGGCCTCTCTAGCTTTATCTCCCAGTTGTTCAGCCTGTGCTGTACCTCTGATGATCTCATTCCTAATCTTATCCATCCTTGTTACTCCTAAGGAGAACCTCAACATCTTCATTTCTGCCACTTCCAGGTCTTTGTCTTTTTGTCCATGTCTCCATCTCCAGACCATACAACATAGCTGGTCTCACCACTGTCTTGTAAACTTTTCCTTTGTTGACACTGTTTTGTCACAAATCACTCCTGAAACTTTTCTCCATCCACTCCATCCTGCCTGGACTCTCTTTTTCACCTCTTTACCACACTCCTCATTTTCCTGGACAGTTGACCCCAAATATTCAAAGTCCTGCACCGTTGTGACCTCTGCTCCTTGTAGCCTCACTGTTCCACTGGCCTCCCTCTCATCCACACACATGTACCCTGTCTTACTACGGCTGACTTTCATTTCTTTTCATTCAAGTGCATGTACCTCCACCTCTCCAAGTTCTCTTCCACCTGTTCCCTGTTCTCACCACAGATCACAATGTCATCTGCACACGTCATTATCCATGGGGATTCCTGCCTGACCTCATCTGTTAGTCTGTTCATAACCAGACCAAACAAAAAGGGGCAAAGAGCTGATCTTTGATGCACTCCTGCCTCCACCTTGAAGCCATCTGTCACTCCTACAGCACATCTCACCACTGTCCTCATACATGTTCTGTACCAGTTTAACATACTTCTCTGCCATTCCAGATTTCCTCATCCACACCTCCTCCCTCGGCACTCTGTCATATGCTTTTTCTAAATCCACAAAGACACAATGGAGTTCTTTCTGACCCTCTCTGTACTTCTCCATCAGCATTCTCAAAGCAAAGATGGCATCTGTGGTGCTCCTTCTTGGCATGAAACCATACTGCTGCTCACAGATAGTCACCTCTCATCTAAGTCTTGCTTCCATAACTCACTCCCAGATCTTCATCGTGTGACTCATCAACTTAACACTCCTGTAGTTGCTACAACTCTGTACATCAACCTTGTTCTTAAAAATGGGCACCTGCACACTTCTCCATTCCTCAGGTACTTTCTCAGTCAAACATGCCATTGAATATTTGAGTCAAAAACCTCACTGCCATCTCTCCAAGACATTTCCAAACCTCCACTGCCTTCCCCATCTTCATTCTGTTTGGAGCTTTCTGGACTTGACCCTCACTAATCTTTCCCACTTCCTGGGCCACAGTTTCTACAACCTCTACTCTTCTTTCTCTTTCATCCTCTTCATTCTTTAACTCTTTAACAAAGTACTCCTTCCATCTTCCTGTCACACTCTCCTCACTTGTTAGAACATTAACATTCCAATCTTTAACAAGCCTAACCTGCTGCACATCCTTTCCAGCCTGATCCCTCTGTCTCACCAATCGGTACAAGTCCTTCTCATCCTCTTTAAGTGTCCAGCCTCCCATACAACTCATCATATGCCTTCTGTTTTGCCTTTGCTACCTCTTTTTGCCCTACGTTGCATCTCCTTATATTCCTGTCTACCCTAGTCAGTCCTTTCATTGTCCCATTTCTTCTTGGATAATCTCTGCCTTTGGATAGCTTCCTGCATCAAATATTAATAATAGAATAAAATAAAAACATGGTACGATACAGCAACAAATGTCAAGTTGCGTGTTCTTACTCTTTGGTAGTCCTCCTTTGCTTTGCTGAGCAGTTCCATGATGCCGATGGACCGTGGTTCTGCGACGCCATTGGTTCTACACGACTCGGTTCTCTCTGGGGACTTCCTCTGAGCATAGTCCGCCTCTTGTTTCACAATCCTGGAGGAGCATCACAACATGGCACAAATAACTAACATCTATTTGTTGTTTGAAAAAGTGACATTTTTAATAACAATTCCTTGATCAAAGTAGAGCTATTTTTAAAATTAATATTTAAAAAATACTGAACAAACAGCAGTTTAATTAAACTTATACACAAACATTATGAAAGTGTTGACCTACTTACTTGACCATCAGCTGAGCAATCCGTTGACAATCTCTCTTATCGTAAAACCAAATACTGTAGATGCCCACTGTTAAAAAATACAAACACATTGTTTAAAAGTTTATAAGCAGAATAAATACACCAAAAAAAACCCTCTTCATACTCACCACCTCCTAGCATTTCCAAATAACTACTTGACTTTAGAGTCTCGTTGGAAATGATTAAGAATAATTTGTATTTTTTAAAACATTAGCACAATAGATTTATTTTATTTAGAGATAATACAGATTTTTGTCCTACTAGATGTTCTGGAGTCAATTCTAAATTATGCTGCATTTGAAAAAAAAAAAAAAAAAAAGTATGCATTTCTATCAAGTACCAGAAGAAACGTAAAAATAATAAATTCCGGCAGCTCTGAAGACCAACAAAAACATCAACATCAAAGACAACAGATTAATAACAAAATGTAAAATTGTGGATCATGAGTTTTCATTAAAACAAGAACTAGTCAGTATAACAGTGGCTGTGTCATTTTTGTGTGTGACAAAAACACTGGTGTGTTTACCGTCCCCCAGGAGGCTGTGGTTACCTGGAGACGTAAGAGTTCGCCCCCCGAAGCATCTACTGCTACCGAAGGGATTACAAAACAGTGTAAACAAGTGTGTGTCAGTACATGTTTCTCATGTTCTCAATGTCTGAACACACACTACAGCCTCAAGCAGTGAGTTCACCAGCACTCACAGAGACCCAAGTAGGACTCAAATACTTGTTAATGATCAGCGTCCTCTGAAAAATCAGTCCTCCTTGTGTTTGACTTGTTTTTTTTTTATTTAAACGTCCTCTTGGGTCAGCTCAACCTGCATTTCTTCCTTCGAGGGAGGAGTCGGCTCATCCGAGCTTCTCTCACTTCCAACATAACAAATGGGACTTTATCCCCCAATGGTCGCAGCTTTATAGCAGCAAAACTATTGACGACAGACTCTACACACTGACAAAAGTGCTTTATGAGAACTAGTGAGTGTGCAAATGGGACTACGTGAGGGACTACCATAAACAAACCAATGGAGCAGGGAACCAGGAGAGGATACTATCAGAAAATAATTTCTGAGAGCCAGTTTTGACAAGAGGCTGTCGACCGCCAGAGTTCAGGAGCCATTTGAGGATTACAGTTCATCGGTCGCTTACTAAAGACTTGCACACAAAAACTATCTTTCTACAACAAATGACTAAGGAATTATGATTTCAGCTTATGAGCTCAAGTGAAGCCATCAGAGAAGTCGTTTCTACTGGAATACCAAGAAGACGTTTCATCATGTCCTCGATACCAGCCAGGCTGGTGTGCAAACCAAACCCAAAAGGAGAGCAGTCGACTCTGACGTTGACCTTGGCCATGCTGTTTTTTCTCATAAGCAAACAAATGGGAAAACAATCAAACTCCTTGTTCGTTGCACTGATGAAGCTTCTCTTTAGACTTCTAGTAGATTACCTTGGTGGCAGCGCTGTCAGCTACTTTTTGAAGATTTGAAGAATTTTGTGCCTTTTTTACTTCACCAAACATGGCTGGAGGACTTTACTAAACAATCTTAGTAGATTAATTTGAGCCCTGTCTCTTTGACGGCAGCCTGAAGGCAGTAAGAGAATGGTTTCCAAGTCGAGCTGAAGTCGCCGTTTGGCCATGAGTGCTAAAGTATTTATTTTTAATGCTGCAAGACGTCAAAATGACTTCAAGCAATATGGAAAACAGATGTTTCATCGAACACTGGGGAGGTGTCTTTCTGTGATTTTCACAGGTATGATATTTATTATTTGTGTGCTTGTGATGGTTTATGCTTTTCTTTGATAAGTGTTGTTTTATGATCAACACATTATGATAAAAACTAATAATATAACTAAAAATAGTACAATATTACAGATAATATATATTAAAATTTATGTTCAGCAATATAAAAATATTTTAATACATTTATCATGATGCAAAAAAATATTTAAACATTTAGTCTGTTTTCTGGTAAGAAATCTCATTGCATCATTATTCAGATACTTGGAGTGAAAGTACAAATGCAGAACTTTTCAGTTTTCTTTCTGTTGTGGCAACTAATCTCTAATATTTAATTAAAAAACAAAACAACAACAACAACAGAAAAAAGCAAAGACATTAACAATAAATAAATGAATAAGACTGCTTCTGAGATCTGTTAAAGCAGGCACCACAGAATACATCTTTTTTTAAGTGCATTTTTTTTCTCCAAAACACTCACGGTTGCCATTTCTGTAGAGCAAGAATGGATCTTGCAGCTGAAACTCCAGGTCTTTATTTATTGGCTCCACAAGGTTCTCTGTACTCAGTCGATTCATGATGATGAAGCCATGATGAGGAGAGGCAGACCTACAAAAAAACAGGACCAACACGACACAACTGAATTTATTTGGAGTTCCCCATTTTGAGAACATATTGCCATTTTAATGGAAGTCACCATAAAAAGACACTTTACTGACTCCACGAGAGTAACTGGTTTGTCAGAAAAGCAGATAAAATCAAAACTCCTTTCTAACAAGACTTAAAGAAAGTGGTCCAGATGACACGATTTAACCTTTTTTGTTGCTTTCTAACAACCGTAGTAATAACGCTCCACAGTTATACAGTTGTAAAAATTCTAACGTTACACTGCAAATTGAGACCGAGTTAATGCAACCACGGCAGAGTATAAACATATTTTGAATAACCGTGTGAAGTTATAGGTTTAGTCGAGCTCACCAGGGGTGTCCAGTCCTGGTCCTCAGGGACCACTATCCTGCATGTTTTAGATGTTTCTCTGCTCCAACACACCTGATTTGAATCAATGGTGACTAACATGGATCAGCAGAACATGAAGAAGTAATTCAAACATTAAATTAGGTGTGTTGGAGCAGAGAAACATCAAAAACCAGAATTAGACACCCCTGAGTTAAACAGAGATGTGTTGTAGAATGTTTTCTTGCAGTGTTTTCTGAAGCAGCAGAGTCTTTTGTTTAGAAGCGTTGCTGTGAGACACAAAAGAAGGGGGACAAAATGTGAACGATTGAGAACAGTTTGTCCAGGGATGACATGTCAAAATATTCATTTACAACATAAATTGCTTAAATTTCTCACCAAGAGTTGGATCGTTGGGATGGACCAGTCTTTGCTGTAATGTATTTTGGGGTTTGAAAGCCACTGGGACGTCATGTTTAGAAAATAAACGTCTCGGTTTCTCTGAGAAGCAGGAGTTTCAGATCCAGTCCGCTGGCACAAACAGAGTAATATTGTGTATGCTGTTCAGTGTCAGGGCTGTGATCAGTCTTACATCGGGGAAACAAAACAGCCACTGGCCAAAAGGATGGCCCAGCACAGAAGAGCAACACCATCAGGCCACGACTCTGTGGTTTGCACTCATCTGAAGGCCAGAATGAAAATAATCTGTCCATAATTAAACAGGGACAGAGGCCTCCGTGTCTAAATGTCCCCCTCTTACAATGCTGTTATTGCTAGTATCACTCAGCCCTCTGTGAATAGCAAGCAGCCGCTAGGGCACCAACGATTTATCGTCAGGCTAATGGTCCTCCTTTATCATGTGAACAACTAGTTTTGACTGTCACAAGCAAACTGGTTGATCCACTACAACAAGGTGGTATTTATAAGACTGAGTTTATTGCAACTCCTCAGAATGAGTGTCTTTTGGATAAAAGATGAAATGTTTCAACATGATTTTTTAATTTTCTTGAATCCATCCAGAGGACCTGACTTAACTTTGTTAGCTCTCTAGTAAAGTCAAGTAGTTTCACAATAAGTGTTCTCTTACAAAGCAATTTGATAGTGTCATTTTACATGTAGAAATATTCTTGACTTGTAGTTTACGTTTGACCAAAAGTCAAACCTCCACTTAAAAAAAAAAAATCACACTTGTTTGTTCTTGTCTACTCTTTGATATTTCAAATAAGTATTAATAACTAATGTTTCGACAGTGCCTTCCCACTATATTGATGGTTTTCTTTGGATTAACCATTACTATCTTGAGTCACGCGGAGTCCACTTTTGTTTACAAAAATCATGGCCTGCGCACGTGCGCAACATTACGTCAAATAACGTAGAGAAACGTAAAGCTGAACGGATAAACAGCCTTCATGTTCTCGAGTTAAATCACTCTCAGGGTCTTAAGCGTACCTCGCATAAACAAACAGCGTTCCCTCGATTTCAGTCTTCTCCTGAAAACATAAAATAACTGTCAGACGAAAACAACAGCAGCAAACAACCGCAGCAACCCCAAACGAGCTGTACAGTTAGCTTGTCTAGCTAGCAAACCCCAGTTTACACTAGCGGTTTACAAGAAACTAAACAAATGGAACTACAATTAAATCAACGCATTTAAGAAAGCTAGCCCTTTTTTTTAAAACAACTCCTGACCCTTTATTTTGATTATTATTATTTAGTTGTGTAAAGGGGCCAGTCACAGTGCTGACTCCACCGAGTTTCAGGTCTTTTTCAGGCCACTTACCCACTGGTTTGCTTTGGAATTGAAGGTGTAAAGAGCTACCTGACCAGTAACGTCCAGTAATTGGTTGATGTACGGATCTTGTCTCTGCAGAGCTGCTAAGCTCATCAGATGTCCAGCATTTACCGTCTCCATCTTCGAATGTGATTGTTGCTCCCTTACGGACTGATTTCTGCAAACACTTGTAGCTTCCGCTGTTACCGGAAATTGCAACACTTAAAAACTTCCCTAGCGACTCATTACTCCGTTGTGAATAATTCGTACAGGATAGTCTCAGTAAATTAAATAAAATTTCATTTAAATCTCATTCATTTAAAATTATTTAGTAAATAGACGTTTGTGTTATATGACGGAGCTAATATTTTCCTACTGTAATTTAAAATAAAAAAAATCAATCTAACAAATAAATAAATAACGTATAAAGGTGTAGCTATTTCAGCAGTTCGCGATGAATCAGGTTTATTATCACGTTCTGTAAAAATAAAGGTGTGGAGTAAATAAATCATATATACTTAAAAATGCCACGTTTTATTGAAGTAGCAAGTTTGTTAAACATAAAATGCATTTTACTACCTTTACTTTAATTTTTTATAGAAAAAAATATTTATATCTTATCCTTTAGGTAATTTTAAAAATCACAATATTAGTATAATCTACCTCTGATTTGCAAAAGATACGTACAACATTCCTGATTAAAAAGTCTGCAAATTTATTATATCAATATAATTTAAGACTTCACTTTCACAAACTTCACTTTCACTCTCAAAGCAGGATTGTCATTTGGCTCTACATATGATGGTTCCTTTCTTACCTGCCTCTGTTCACTGAACAAGGAATATAATCCGAGGATTACGTGCTACCGTAAAACTGCTTTATCCTCCCCTGTGCTGGCACAGGTAATCCAATCACTGCTAACTTTCCATCAGAGCTCTGAACTACTCATTTCCTCTGCAATGGCTATTGAGTGAGCACAAAGAACAGCGCCGTGATGAGGCCCCAGAGAAGAGCCAGGTGACAGAATGCCATTTATTATCAGGGGAAGAGCCCTGAGGGGTAAGTCCAAAGATCTGCTGGGACACATGATGAGGGGGGGTTGGTCCTCTAGTTCAAGATAAAGTGAAATCAGAGATTTGGTCACCATAATAATTATATGTCAGGAACATTATGGCTTCATTGTGCCTGATCTGAGTCTTTATCAGCTGTTTTCATTTCAGATCAGTTTTTAATTATAACACTGTCAATTAAAGGCCTAGCTTTCCTTGAATTAATTCATATGCCTGCTGCCTTTCATGCCAGAGTTTTGGACAAAGATCATATTATGATCAGTAGGGATGGAGCCATTTTTGTCAAACTTTGCTGATGTTGTATGTGAAATCTCATGCCATACCATGAGATCTCACACTCAGCATGTTGGGAATGACTCTCAGCTACTACCAGATCGAATAGTAGCACAATCTATGTAAAACTGTATGAAGTATAGCCATTTTGTTTAGGGTTAAATACAAAAGTTAAGCAGTTATGCTCACCCATCGATTACTTTCTAAAGGTTTAATGAAAATCCATCTGAAATACTTCGTTAACATAGTTGACAGTATGTTAATGCTAGTTTGAACAATGCTCTTGCACAGCGGTTAATGCATGGGTTGGGAATGACTCTCAGTTACTACCACTTCAAACTTTAGCTCAATAGCTGTGAAATTGGCTGAATTTTAGCCATTTTTGTTTGCGCAGATTGATGTGCGATGGCAGTTTGAGATGCATTGACTTTCAAAGTTAATCAGTTGTAGATGTACAACTTTATTACATTTACATGTACATTGTAGTGTATATGTTATTTACATATTAGTACATAATTTATTGAAAGTTCAATTAAAATCAGTCCAGTGGTCCCATAAGTTATTTGGCTAATAAACAGACAAGACTCCAAGTAATTAATTGCAAATTTAAAATTTTGCACATCTGTTGGTGGTCAGAACATCTGTTGTAGAGCAGTCTCAGTTACTACCACACCTATATATATATATAGTAGCTCAATACCTGTAAAATTGTCTGAGTTGTAGCTATTTATGCGTTTTCTTAGTTTGATTAGCTGTGACGGCCTTTTTTCAATGGATTGACTTGAAAAGTTAATCAGTTCTCTTCAATGATTATTTCCTGAAAGTTTCATTAAAATTCATCCAGTGGGTCATGAGATATTTTGCCAAAAGACAAAAACCCAAACACACTGTTAAACTTTTTTTTACACCAAGGCTATTCAACTAAATTGCTCAGGGGGCCACAGTTACTGAAAGCCAAGAGCTCATGGGTCTGACATCCATCAGTTATTGTCATTAAGTACGTTTGTTTTACAATTTAAAATCTAGTTTTATTTAAAAATGAACCCATTGGTGGGCCGAACTGAGCACACCTGGGCCTGATTTGGCCCCCGGACCACCAGTTGAAGCTCTGCACTAATTCTCTCCCTATTTATAGAAAACAAACAAACAAACAAACAAAAAAAACCCACACAACTGCGTTTTTAAACTCTTCATCCATAAAACAAAAAAACAAACAAACAAGCAAGCAAGCAAACAAACAAACAAACAAACAAACAAACATGTTTTTAATGGACAACAGGTGTTTATTTCGCTCTTAATTAAGCAATAAGTAGAGCCCCAGTTCGCAGCCTTGTGTTTTCACTATATTTTAGTGGGAACATCTTGGACTGGGGACCTGCAGCTGCTCCGGGTCCAGCTCGTCCTCCGCACGCGCTGTCAGTCTGCAGCCAGGGACCCGGATGTGGCGGAAACTGCTCTGCGCTCCTCTCCGGGTCTGCGCTCCGGGAAGCTTCTAGCCGCTCCGCTCGGGCTCGCGCCGTCGTCACATTCAGGTGTCCTCTTCCAACGATGAGTTGGATTTAAAACGAATCTCTTCAATGTGGATTCGAGGATGCAAGGAGCAGATGAACAGACTGAAGGTAAAAAAAAAAAAAAAAATGTGCGGAGAGCTGAGGGACAGTTGGAGTGGGCGAGAGCGCTTTGGTTTATTCTTTAAATGTCCTCTTTAAGCTGTTTTTGTTATTCTCTAAGTTGTTTGTCCATATAATGTATCTTTTAATATAATTGTGTGCTGATAATGTGGATCTATGAGGGTTTTTTTTTCTAGAACAGTTCAAATGCATAGGAATAAGAAATAAAAAGACTTATTTGTGATAAGTTGTTTTTAGAAACATGTGGCAGGTTCTGACGGTCATACAGAGATGCAAACAAACTTTTCAGGTAAATTCAGCTCATTTCAGGTTTTACAGGGTACAAGTGGTAACACCCCCCCCACACACACACACCACCACACACACTGATCAGTTTGAGTCTTATAATGCAACAACACATTTTTTAATCAAATGGTGGTTTGAAGAGAAGCTATTTTCTGAGAAATTTAACATTGACTGAAAGGGTTTAGGATAGCTCCTTGATATTTCTTTAAATTTTGTGTTAACTTAAAAAAACTTGTATAATTCACACAAAAAATACAATTAAAGGCCCAACCTTTGAAATAACATCCAACTCATTCTCATGCCATGTTGTAAAATGTCACGCTCAGATCATGTGTTGTGAATAATTCTCAGCTACAATTCACATTTTAGCACAATGTCTATAAAATTGACAAATTTTTACTAAATTGTTTTCTAATTTAAGCCAAGTATGTCTGCAGCCATTTTGAGGTGGGGTGGTGTCAAAATGTTATTTGCTGAATATAATGCTCTAAATCCATCCAGTGGTAAAAACATCTGGTAAAATCAGTTAGTGCTCAGAATATGTGCTGAACTCTCAGCTACAACTAAATTTTAGCTTAATGCAGTTAGACTGGCTAAACTACAGTTGTATTTGCTAAGGTTTCCTATAGCTGTAGCAGCCATCTTGAATGTAGTTGGCTCCAATCAGTAAGTTCAATTATTACATTTAAAGAGTTTTGCTAAGAACAAACAAACATACACATAAAGTAAAACATTATCAACATAAAAACAAAGCAGAGTGTTAGAAGACTCTGATCCTTTCTTTGTGGACTTCATTCAACTTTAGCATCTTTCTGTTCACATGAAAGTCTCTGTAAGTTCTGAGGCTTTGTCTTGTTGCCTGAACGTGAAACGTTGGCTGTTCTCCGGTGAACAGCCGGCCCTGGTGTGGTTCTGCTGTGGAGCGGCAGTGTGCCGTAGTGTCTGTGTCAAGGACACGCTTCTCTTCACTCGTGGTCTGCATTGATTTTAAAGACCGTTTCTCTCAGTCATGCAGGCTGATCTGCTCTCCATCTCTGGCTCAGTTGTTTTCACGTTCACATCAGAAACTGCACGTGAATCACAATAAGTTTTGTCCCATCGTTAAGTTAAT